GCATTCCTACTGCATCCTTCACACTCAAGTGGACCCTCTCCAATCTAGCAAGGCTTGAAATGCCAAACTATAAAGCTCAATGCACCACTACACAGTAAAACTGCCATTTAATGGAGGTAAAAAAAAAAATTATTTACAGTGCAAGATCAAAGGAATATTCCAATCAAGTGAACTCGACTACAACAAAGTACATAAACGGAAGGTTTGCTGAATTGTGATTTAATAAATGACCTTCTCGATTCAATTTTCTGATCAATAAGAGATAGAAATACATTGGATTTCATCGCCTCAAGCTTGAGAAACGTTTATTTGGTTTTAGTCCAAATCAAAAAATATAATTCACAAATAAATGCTACACTAGTCAAGTGAAATAATGTGACATTTGGTCTATTACTGGCTCAGGTATTATTATTGTATATATATATATATATATATATATATATATATGAAGAGTTCAGATGCAAAAGCCTCTAAATGCCATTTGAAATTTTCTTCTAGAATGATCATTTTTATCAAGCTTGTAGATTTAAGTTCAGTAATTTCACTTAAATTGCAATGAGGATTACCTATTAATTGTCATTTAAGTGAAATTACTGAACTTGAATATATAAGCTTGATAAAAATGACCATTTTAGAAGAAAATTTCAAATGGCACTTAGAGGCTTTTGCATCTGAACTCTTCATATATACACACACACACATACTCAAGCACATTTACCTAGAAAGTACTGGCTAATATAAGGTTAGTACATGGGTTAGGGGTAGGTTTAGGATTAGGTTCAGGGTTAGTACCTAGTTATTACCCAGTAATTATAATAACTATAATAAGTACATGGGTAACAGGACTGTAAAAGGAAGCGTTACCGAAAATTCCACAATGACAAAAAGGCAAAATAAATGGTGTATTTACGAAAACATGCAGTCCCCGTGATGCAAGAGGTCACAAGTTTCCATTGATGAAAAAAATCATCTTTAATGAGGGAACTGCTTGCCACTCTATATAAAAACTGTTGAGGAACCATTACTCACGTATTGACAAATGAATGTTTGGATGTCACAGCGGGCACTGCTGGTTAAATTATCATGAAGAGGAAGCACCATCAAAGCACTGCCTGAAAATGATTCTCCATCAATACTCTCTGCACAAACAATGAGAAAAAAAACACACGTTCTCTCAACAAGACAATTACACCAATCATATTAACAATAGAGGTACTCCAGAACAAGTATTAAACATCAGGTTTTGATATTTTTTCCTTTTTAAAGAAAAGATTCAAATAATGCTATTTTAAAAGTCCTCAAAGTTACACATTTTATTGAAGGCAATTTTCATGTCACACCACAGATATTCTACATTGTTCCATGCTGTAACAAAGCTATACTGTACATTCTAAAGGGCAGCTTAGCAGATAATAGCACAAACAGCCTAGTTCTGTGCTGTCAAGGACAGAACAACAGTTTGAACAGAACAATCTTACATCTAAACATTTTAATACTAAAAATAACACATCTAGTTAATAGACTCTGCTTTCGGTATACCACTTTGAGTTGGTTTTAAATGCTTTTGAAAGAAGAGATTTGTGTTCTCTTATGCTCACCAAGGCTGTATTCATTTGATCAAAAATACAGTAATACAATATTATGCTTAAAATAACCATTTTATATTGTAATATATTTAAAAATGTAATTTATTCCTGTGAATTTTTAGCATCATTATTCAAGTATTTAGTGATCCTTCAGAAATCATTCTTTCTTATTACTATCAGTGTTTATTCTAGATAGTAAAAAGAACAGCATTTATTTTAAATAATTTTTTAAACAAATTTTTTTTTACAGTGACTTGATTAATTGAATCCATTATTGATGTATAAAACTATTAATTTCTTAAAAAAAAGCATCCTAACCTCAAACTAATGTAGACAGTGTATACAATCGTCGCCATGACTGCTAACCGGCTTATAGCAACACTTTTTGCAATGTCATACAAAACTTTTCAGGCAACATACGTTCAAGACCAGGCCAGCAGTGAACGCTTTAAACGTCCTGTTTCTCTCTTTTTCCTTTCCTTTAAAGCATTCCCATTTTCAAAGCCAGGAAGCAGTTTTGTGGAACGATGATAGAAAAATTGATTGTGAAATCTATTTAGTGTGGCTATCGATTTCCCCATAAGGGGAAGGAAGGCAGACCGTGTGAGTAGGATAATGGAATATGGAACGGGGGAGCAAGGGCCCAGAAATGGGAAGTGACACTGGTTAATGGAGTAGAACTGGGCTGTTTTAGGTAGGGCATGAGAGCGTGTGCACATATATCCATGTGAGAGGTCTCCACGTCTACTATAACACTCCACATTCAGCTCTGCATTTCAACTCATCTATATTGAAAGAATAAATGCAATTTTGGTGATAATTTATATTTCGGTTTCAAATAAACGCTGTTCTTTTAAACCACGTAAACTAGACTGGAGTAATGACGCTGAAAATTCAGCTTTGCATTCATAAGTTTCATTTTAAAATGTTCAAATAGAAAACTTATTTTAAATAGAAATCTTATTTCACAATATTACTGTCTTACTGTATTTTTGATCAAATAAATGCAGCCTTGGTGAACATGAGACCTTTCTTAAAAAAATAAAAGGAAAAAAGGCCATAAACTTTAAAATGGTATATGTGAAAGGTGCAGCAGCAGCCTTGTACCTTAAATGGTTAGTTCACCCCCAATCTTCAGAACACAAATTGAGATTTTTCTGATGAAATCTGAGAGATTTCTGTCACACTTTTGACACTTTCGACACAACAATCCATTTATGAACTTTTTGAAGCATCAAAGTGGCATAGTGAAACAAATCTGTGATTTGAGCGGTTTAGTTAATTTTTTCGGACACGATAACTATATTTGATGGGGTGGTGATGGCGCAGTGGGTAAGACACATGCCTTTGGTGTGAGAGACCCGGGTTCGAATCCACTGTGAGACACCAATGTGTCCCTGAGCAAGACACTTAACCCCTAGTTGCTCCAGAGGCGTGCGACCTCTGACATATATAGCAATTGTAAGGAGTCTCTTTGGATAAAAACGTCAGCTAAATGAATAAATGTAAATGTATAAACATTAATCAGTGAACATAAACTGAAGCTCAACTGAGCTTGCTTGACACATGAGAACAGCAGAAGCTCAAAAGTGATGTGTAACACATGAGAATGAACCTCATTGGTTCTCCCACGTCAAGCGAACATGCTTGAGCTTCCGTTTACCACGACTAATTTAAGAGTTGATGAATTTTAAAAGCCTAAATTTAATCTGCTCGTCATATCAAGCAACCGTGTCTCTTCAGAAAATTTGGACAAAACCACTCAATTATGGATTAGTTTTACAATCTCTTTATGAACTTTTTGAAGCATCAAAGTGGTAGATGCGTAATGGAGGGATGGGAATCTCTCAGATTTCATCAAATAGATCTTCATTTGTGTTTTTTTTTTTAAGAAGATGAAAGTCTTAGGGGTTTGGAAAGACATCAGGGTGAGTAAATAATGACATCATTTTTGAAATCTATTTGAAATCATTTGCAGTTATTTAAAAAGTCTTACCATGATGTATAAGTGAAAACAATGAAACATCATTCCTCCTGTGTGGCTGTGGCGTATGACTCATTGTACAGGCAGATCTAAGCTGTGCCATTAGCAGCCAATGCATCAAGCTATTTCAGGATTTCTAATATTTCTAATCAATTCACGTTATTGCCTCTGCATTCATGACAGCAATTGATGAATTTTTGAGCCAGACAGTACCAAAAATATTCAACAGCCTGAAAATGCTACCGAGCAACTTGGGAATATGTGATCGAATAGTTCCTTCATGAATTGTCAACACCAATTTCTCAAACAACACCTTAAAGGCAAATAATGCACAAATGCTGGGTTGTTTTAACCCAATTTTGGGTCAAATATGGACAAACTCAAACATTGGGTTACAAATGTCATTTAAAAATGTAACCCAATGGCTGGGTTTGTCCATATTTGACCCAAAATGAGGTTAAAACAACCCAGCATATTTTAAGAGTGTATAAGACATCTTGGAGAAAAATACCTAAAGACAAAGCTCATTAACATGTCAGCCTGGCTCCTGCATAAACAAGGAGATAGAATTAATAAACCACAAAAAGGGGAAAAATAATTACAAACAATGAGTTTCTTCTTCATTATGAGATCACAAAGCATGACAAATGCAAAGAAAATGTCAAATTGAAGCTTGAAACGCTGAGGGCTCCTAACTGTCTCGTCCTTCTACTTGTGACTAGTGATATGGCAAAGGACATTGAGCTGATTATGTGTGAACCTCTCAGCAGCCAGCCACTGCCAGTTTAACAGATCCAATCTGATGGTAGGCCCATTAAGACAAAGACCTGAGATGGTGAGAGATTAGAGGTGTGATTAGAGGAAGAACCTAATTACCCTTCAGCATGGAGACTCACCCCTCGAGACACTTTCGTTATTGATTTCCAGTTACATCACTGCTTCTATTGGACAGGCCTGACGGACAGAAACAAGCAGAATTTCATGTTAAGTACATGTTCACAGTCTTCAGACACACCAAGAATTTGACAAACATTTCGATGTCCAGAATATGCATCTTATTCTGGACATTATATTCAGCATGCCGAGTGCAGAGTCGAGAGCCTGTAATCCAAGCCACTGGGAGTTTGAGGCCAAGAAACATAAAAGCCAGATGAACAAACTGGCTTTTATGTTTATAAAACTAAACAAATTTAAATTGTTGGGTTATGCAAAAGCTTCAAAGCCAGGCCAACCTCAAAAGGCAGCATAGAATTATGTTAGCCTCCCAAAGATTTTCAAAATGATTCTCAAGAAACTAAAAGACTGTTACTGCCTCCTTGTGGTAGAAAAAAGTTGTATTTTTGTAACAGGTTGCATAACAAATAGATTTATGCTCTGAAATGCATGGTTAGAGTCAAAATAAAAATTCAGGAATGATGATGACTACAATGACCAGAGCATCCTTTCCATTGGATAGATTGTTTATTTTACATTTTAAAAACGAAAGAAAAACAAAACAAAAGTACTGCTCAGACTAAATCTAAAAAGAAACAATGTTTGGAAAACAAACAAAAACTTCATTATAACGTCATTGGCTTAGAATGAATTTCATTTAGGTTCCATAATATGAGGCATAATGGCAGTGAAATAGCAGTGTTTATACCACACAAGAAAGTTCAGGTAAATTTGGATGTGATTGTAATAAATCCTCCGCATCCTCAAAAGGTAAACAACACAGCATTAATTAGAAACGAGCAAAGCAAGTTCCATGCGTTTACTGCATGTGAAAAGCTATTTCGCCCTCTGGTGGCTGAGAACAACAGAATTCCTTTATGGCTGCACTTACATAATACACAACAGAGACTGAATCCACTTTGTTATGGGAAACAACTCGTTATTAAGAAAAGCAATAACCCTAGAGGACAATAACCATAAATTCCCACATAACAGAAGCGCTCTGGTAAATTTCAAGGCAAACAATACAGATTAACTTTCTGCAAAATAAAGCAATATTTAAAAAAGTATGGCAGACATTGCTTTCAAAACACTTTTTTGTCCCATAAACATCATCTTAACCTTCATAAAAGAAGAACATGTTCCTTTACCTTCATTAAAGAAGAACACTTGTGTGTTTGGTTGACAGGAAATCTGAATTAGAAGGAAACACTCCTCAATCATACATCATATCTATTCAGCTATAGAATAAACAAACAAAACAAAGGAACAAGTAGCCAAGCATCATAAGCAACCGAAGGGTTTGGAAGGAAAAACCGTGGATATTGGTCTAATTCCACTTTTGTATTGTACCGCCTCTACATCCAAAGGTGTTTTAATACTTCACAATCTGTAATATAATTGGTTCTTCTCATAGCACAGGAATGACTTGGAACTGTTGACTGGTCCCTCTATTAGATGCCATCTACAAAAAAAATAAAGTTTATAAATAAATAAATATTCCCATTTAATCAGTTTCAAGCAGCACCTGTCTAAAGAAAAACCTTTCACCAGGTCAACTTAAGTGATGCTTTGGTTAAGTGCCAGAAACCCACAAGGGGAAAAATCTTTTAAAATAAAAGTAAAACCAAACTTTGTCAAGTACATTGAAAGGCATTTTAAATGTGCTACTACAAACTGAGCGGACTGTACAGACGTTAGGATCTTAATTATGCATATCTTCACAATAAGGCAGTAGCAAACTGTCTTCAGCCAAGTTACGATAACAAAACAATGGCGAACGATCAATACGAGGGCAGTTTCTTTAAATTAGATTCTGTACATTATTTATACTCGATTTGTACTTTACAATAAAATTATTATAGATACATTGTACTATTTTCATTTCAGCCCAGCAACCGTTTGTCAATTTCCCTGCCTCCTTGCGTATATATTGTGTATACAAACATGTTAAAGTAGCAAGCGAGTGCGTTCAATACATGTGTGCGCCTTTAAGATGTTTCGGTCATGCTATGAAGGTTTTGATGACCTTCTGTATAACCTGGCCACAGCCCGGGCAAGGAGCGTGAAATTTGTGCAGCTTGCGGGCACAGGGAAAACAGGTGATCAGATGAGCTGTGCGGCCATGGATGATATTGCCGTTTCGCGGCCGCACTCGGCACAGCTTGCAGGGTTCTAGCAAGGCCTCGGGTTGGCATTCCGTCTCCATGTCCAGCGTGTCCTGGCTGTCACCCTCTGAGCTCTCCTGTAAGTGGGGGTGAAGCTGGGAAGGACCCTTTCCTTTTGACGACGAAGCGGATGATGGGGGGATGTTTCTAGAGATGAGGTGCGAGGGGAGGACGACAGGGTCAGACACAGTCCTAAGGCAGTCAGGCATGTCGATTCCATCATCCTCTTCGTCTTCCTCCCTCTCAGGACGTGAAATGCATGCGGGGATGTCTGGAACAGAGATGGAGTGTACGAGACGAGGGCAATCCTTGTACCAGTCTTTCCGCAGAGCCCAGCAGCGCATGCAGTACCGTTGAAGAGGGGTGTTAAATTTGCGACACTCTGAGCACTGCCATGCATCCTGCCAGAAGATAAGGTCATTTGAATAAGTTGTGCCTTTTATCCATGTATAACTATTTTTAAAAATAATAATAATAAAAAATAGAAACATGATCAACTTAAATGTAATCAAACAATATTTATAATACACCCTAAGATTATTTTTTTTTCATTCTTAATTTTGGGGTCTACAAGATTTTATTGAACAAGACGTTAAATTCACCAAAAATTGGAATTTTAAATAAATCCTGAAATAAAATATATCACTGTATTCACAAAAAATATTAACCAGCACAACTGTATTTTCAACATTGATAATAAAAAGAAATGTTTCTTGAGCCCCAAATCAGCATTTAAGAATAAGAGTAATGATGCTGAAAATGTTCCTTTGCAATCACAAAAATAAATATTAAATAACTTTCACAATATTACTGTATTTTATCACATAAATGAAGCCTTGGTGAGAGTAAAATATTCATAAAAAAAAAAAAAACTTAATATACAATTTTCCAAAAGGATTTCCTGATGATATGTCTACCTGTGTGGAGATTTCAGTATCAGTGTCATCACTTAAACACTGAGAGTCATCATCCTGTTCGTCTTGCATCTGAAAGTGCATTTTAAGCTGCTGGTTATGATGAGTCCATCATCTTAAAACGATAGTCAGTGAAGAAGAAGAAGAAAAAAAAGAAGCAAGTAACGTTACCTTCCTGTCATCGTTATTGTCTTTCCTGGTCTCCTCTTCTTCACGTGGAGACTCTACATCACTTCCCTGCTCAAGCACCGCCTCCTTCATCTCCACACTCACTTGCTCGCTTTCTGCCTCATTTAGGAACCAAAGATCATCTGTGGTGTCAGAAACGATGGCCGTGTCCTCATCCTGTACAGGAGAGAGCTGTTCCCTCAGTCTAGTTGTGTGACAGTCTCACTACATTTACTTGACTATAAGACTATAGTACTTATAACTCAAAGTTCTTGTTCATGAATAAGAAAATAGCCATTTGAATTACATTCTGGCGAGCTTGCCCTCTTACTTGATTGGTGTGAATATCAGTTGAGCCATTGCTTCGGCGAGTGTAATTACTTCGCAGGTTACCCAGAAACCACCAGGGCAACCCAGAAAGGTCCCACTCATCCAGAGTCACATCCAGCTTTGGCCGTTTGCAAGCAGACCTGGGTAAGCCGTCTGAGGAGTCTGTCAGGATAGAGAGGTGTCTGGTCTTTAAATACATATTACAATTGCAAGTCATGTTAGTCTTTACTTTATCTGTCTAATGTGGATGCAGTGTTTGTTGGTTCATGCTGACCTTCATCAGGATCGCGTGGCCTGCGCTGTGAGCCGCTCTGTGTTGCGCCAGTGCTGGTGCTGCCAGCAATGAGAGCCTGTCCAGAGCTAATCGACCCACTGGACACCTACACAGTAAGGAAAAAGCAGAATAAGCACATAGTAATGACGTGACACTCGGTAGGACGGCAGTTCCTTCACAGCAGGTGCCCGTGGGTGGGGTGATAAAAGGCCACGTCCTCACAAGTAGAGGGAAGGGGAAAATAATAGGAATTTTCAAAAAAAAAAAGTTTTTAAACACCATTGCTGCTGTATTGTTTTGTAAAGTGAATTGCAAATGGAGTGGCAGCAAACAGAGAGACATCTGGTACCCAAATAATAATATCACACCACTAATGCGTAATATTGGATGGAAAAAAGCCAATCCAAAATCATAACACCTTTCCAAGTTCATATTATTAGCATAGATCACAAAAATACATTTCTATTTAAAGTCCTGTGAATAGCACAAACACATGACGGTACCAGTGACATCATCCCAGGCTGCTGTTCCCAACCCCACCTAACTTCATTCAGCCAGCACACAACCATAAGGTGTTAAATGTGGAAGGGTGTATGAGGGGTGAAGAGGGCCAGTGAACTGAGAAGGAAGCTGCAGTCCTTCCGAAAGAAGCAGCGACGCAGAGAAGGAAACTCTGAGCGACAAACAGAGACAGGTACTCTGTCCCCCAGCAGCCAGGCCCATGCTGGTGGCTTCTCCAGAAGGACCACCAGGCCAGGCCGGCAGTGGGGAAGTACAGAGACGGTGCCACTCTGTACAGAAACGGCTGGTGGAGACAGCTGCCACCCTCCCCTTCATGGCAAACAGTCTATTGATCACGATGCAATTCTCCACACAAAAATGCATTGCAGCAAAACTTTGAGCAACTACAGTGGAAAGAAAGGATGTGAAAGGTTGGGGAGACAATCACTACATTTAAGTAACTGGTTGATTAGAGAGTAAATAAAAAAGGGGAAAGCTGTTTAAAATGGTCACTGTGAGTACTGCATGTTGAAATAAAGCAATCACTTGATAACCTAAATCATTTTTTAAAGCAAAAGAAAACCAAAAATGCCCTGTACAATGCACTTTTATCAGCCTTAAAGGATTAGTTCACTTTTGAAAAAACTTTTGCTGATAATTTACTCACCCCCATGTCATCCAAGATGTTCAAAAGGTCACGGGCGACGTAGCCGGAAATACAGAATCAAAATCGTCCAACATCGTTGTTTTACCTTTTAATTCCTTTTTTGTAAACGGCGTTTGAGTTAGTTTGCACGTTCAACTATGCGTTCAACTTGTAAACACTCTGACTCTGTACTTCTAGCTACGTCGCCCGTGACCTTTTGAACGTAATTACGTATTACGTGACGTTACAAACGCGCATCACAGAATAGAGCAAGGCTAGCATTTGTCCTTAGAAAAGTTACATTTTTGGAATAAGCTTTGAAATAACCGATCGTTTCGCATGATAATTCATCGTCTGGTGTCGTTTAAAGACATTTGAAGCTGCATCTGAAACTGTTATCAACTGTCGTTTGGACCTCGGACCGTCTGGTTCCCATGTAAGTCCATTATATGGAGAAAAATCCTGGAATGTTTTCATCAAAAACCTTAATTTCTTTTCGACTGAGGAAAGAAAGACATGGACATCTTGGATGACATGGGGGTGAGTAAATTATCAGCAAAAGTTTTTTCAAAAGTGAACTAATCCTTTAACAATTTATCACAAAAAGATTCCATTTGATTTTCTGACCAATTGTTTGCCATGAAGAGGAGTTACGAACACTGTTTCTCCTGTGCACCATGCTGTAGTTTTACCTGACCAGGATCTTCACTTGGAGACTCATTAGAATCCTTGCCGACAGAAAGATTCTTTGCTGCATCTGTATTTCAAATAAGACATAGTAACAAAACAAAACAAAAGAAAAAAAACGCCCTTTATTCACCAAGCACACGTCAATCACACTTGGCCCCGACTTAATGCCGTAATCAGTGGTGGAAAATGCAATATTGTTGTAGAACGTTTTTTATTATTATTTTATTTAACTTTTTTTTTTTTTTTTTTAAATCAAGTTTCTTAAGTTCCTGTATGAGGATTGCACAGTACACTAACCTGATAATAAAAATTAAAAAGTTGAAACCATATATAAACAAGTTTTTACATACCTACTGTAGGATACACATCACATTCAGACATACAAACACACACGCACACCTCAAAATGAAAGGTGGGGGTAATCAAAATGAGAGAAAGCAAGACAATGAAAGTGCTAAAAGACAGAGTGACAAGTCTGTGAGACATTTTTATACTCCAGATCATTCAAAATAAATTCAACAACAAGAAGGATGGACTTACCCGCATTATTCAAAATAAACAAATTCCTCTTCAACATCTCATACACAGGGCTACGAAAGGCAGAAAAGAAAGACGTAAATACCTAAAATATGTTGATTTCTCTAAATAACACAAAAGTTAATGCATCAGTCAAAGCAATTCATCAGCCAGTGTATGTGGTATATTCAAGTTTTCAGAGTTGGTTGTTAAAGTTCACCCACACAGGGAAAAAAAACAAATACATTCAAATACAACTTGCCATTTTGAGTCTAAGTTTTTGATTGTATTGAAAATGAAATCAGATATGATTTATTATTTACAGAGTTTTATAATATTGTTGTGATCATCTTGTCTGGATGAGTTTTGTACACTGTACAACATGGATTTAACAGGTAAGATTTAAAACATTAATCTCAATTCAATATGTCACCGTAATTATGTGTTACAAAAAAAAAATCGATATAAAAAGTGCAAAACAAATATATAACGTTACATTATTATCCATTAAATGTCATTTAATATTTAACTTGTTCGTTCGTCTTTAGCTCAAAGCTACTTGCTGATAACTTTTCTTCGTGGAAGCTTCAAATTTATTTTAAGTGAGTGAGAAAATATTTCAACTCAAAATAATAATTTGAATACTTGAATACTTGAATAAAAAACACTCAACTTTGTGGGCCTGCGTCAGACGGTGGACATGATTTATAGAGAGTTATAAAAATAGTGACAATCAAACACGGTTTTAATGATACTTAAATTTTAAGTGAAAATACTAACCGTCAGTACATTTTATCGTGGTTTATAATGAAACCAGTAATCCCATCACTAAAAGGAGGAGTGAGCAATTTCTGAGAAACACTAGTGAAGTGGATAGGGCCGGGCACCAAACAATACAACAAATTTACATCTAGATATTGTCAGCCATTGATGTCACCAGCTGACTTGAATGAGCGAGAGCCGACTATTTTCTCTTCCATTTAAATCTCCTCTGATTGGTAGCTATGAGCTCACCTGGGGTTCTTAACGGAAAAGCTCCCCACTTCCAGTAGTTCACCGAGTGGGTCATCTTGACAGTGGACGATGTGTTGTCTCTGTTTGTCATACAGCTGCTTCATCATGATGTACTGACCCAGGTAGTGCATGACCTAATAAAAAACACAGCCATTTTTAAACATACCTTTCCAGGCAAGTTCAAAAACTCTTAATATCTACAGCATTCGTCAATCTGTAGAGGTCACTTTGTACACACTCCTCACCTCCTTCAGAGTAAACACCTCCTCTTGAGCACCTGCTACTCTCAGGATCTGCAGTAGAGGAGCTCTGGGGTGTACCTGGGGGGTTCAAATACATGAATTTCTAAGGTCTCTAAATTATCAACTTGATCAAATCTTTGCTGAAAGACCTGTTGCATACAATCTACTACATGCCCTCTGATTGAGAGTTCAGGCTTTTTAGTAAGTAAAAGTATAGTATAATTGTAAAAATGTGGTTGTGGTACACATGTCATTTTGCTGTGAAATCTTTAATAAGCTTCATAAAGTTAACTTTTATAGTCATGAATATTTCAAGTACTGGACCGAAGCGATTTAGGTTTACAATAAAGTTTCATTTGTTAATATTAGTTAACCACATTAGTTAGCATGAACTAAGAATGAGCAATAATTCTACAGCATTTATCAATCTTAATCAATGTTAGACTCAGCATTTTCTAATACATTTTTATGATCAAAAGTTGTATCTGTTAAAATGAATGCACTGTAAACTAACATGAACATCTGTATTAACTGGCGTGAACAAAGGTTAATAAATGTTGTAAAAATATATTGCTTGTTAAAATATAATCGTATTTACATATAAAATATGACACAAGAGGCTTGCAAGAAAAAAAAACATTTGTACATCTCTTGTACTTGCACAATCAATGTATTACATTATATATTTTGCATCACAGAAATTGAGACCATTTAAATACAATCTTTATAAGACATAGTGTGACAACTGCTTATTTAATTGGATTTTGTGGATGTAGTCTGTTATAAAAGTGTCATTGATTTACATAAGTTATCAGAATTTCAACTTTTGGCCATATAAATATCAGCAATTGTATAAAATTGTATATTTTTGCACAGTTTGGGTCATATTATCGCTTTATCCTACTATGAAACAGCATGATGTAGCAAATATGACACAAAACGTAAAACAAATCAAAAAAATATTTTTTCTATCTTTTTTTTTCCATCACGTCAAATTGTTCACTAAACTGTTCCATTTGAAAAAGAAGTATGAGAGTTAATATAGAGTGAATATGCATATTTGTTGCTCACCTGAGTCCCTTCCCCGGGAAGAGTCCTGCATGAAGAGCTTGACCCCGTCAACTGAGATATTGACGAAGATGACAGCGAGGTCATGATTTAATCAATAACTGTGAGGAAAAACATTAGATTTAAAACAAACAACGCCAATGTCTAATGTATTAACATTAAATATACCAACACAGGGTTGTGTATCAAAACCTAGGGAGCTGTCTATCTAAACAACATTTTGGGTCTCATAGATAAGTAGCATAGGTGCATCTTCGTTCAAAACAAGGATGACAGCTCAATAGAAATACAATACATCCAGTGCACTCAAGCACCTGTAAACAATGTTTAAAAATGAAAATGCAAAACTACTGTTTTCCATGAGGGCGTCACAATGTAACGTTAGCTGTCAGCTAACGACTTAACACTAACATTTCTGTCATTTCACGCGCATAGAAACACGCTTAAGATTGAAATGACGTAACTTACCATTATCCTAGTTCGGGCATGTGGATAATAAGATCAATTGTGATAGTTGGTTGGATAAAATTCAATTATCTAGTCCGTGGCTGAAACAATAATGCTAAGCTAAAGCGCGCAAGCTATTAGCCCGCGACATTCAGAAGCATAAGACCCCGCGTGATAGTGCTGGTATTGTACTCACACTCACCGTGTTATCTGTGAACGATTACATGGTTTCTGGATTTTAAAGAATAAGAGTTTGTGCAAAGAAGGGAGAGGTGTGAGGGTTTTTTTTTTTTTTTTTTTAAGTACAGTTGCAGTCAGTTGAAGTTGACGTAGTGCGTGTCGTCAGCACGGTTGCCAGTGCCAAAAGCAGTTCCCCGTTTCTAAATTCAAAAAGTTATACGTTTTGCCCAATGGCGGCGCTATAAAGACCCTTGTGTATATTTTACAGCATAATAGCCCTCACCGAGGCTCATCTCTTCAAATAAATAAATAAATATTTTTACACATATTTTCAAAAATATTTTCAGATGTCCACTTGAGTGGACAGCATGCATTTATGGCTTAAATGTATTAAGCATATAATACAGTAATAACAGCAATATTGTGTGTATTTAACAAACTAATCAATAAAATCATATAAAAACTATAAAATATATACAAAAAATATATATAAATGTGAAATATTGCAAAGGCAATTGAACTCTACAAGTTGAACTTTGCGTATCTTTGATATCAGAACACGAGGACGTGACTTAATCAGAAATCTCAACAGCCTGTCAAGGTAAAGCGGTGGAACCTGCAACTTAGATGCTCCCTCCAGTGTAGCAGAATATGCAAGTTTACCCTTATTAGCTGATAATTCTGATTATGTGCAAGACAGACATTTCTAACATAGCCCTCCTCTGAGAAAAACCTTGCGACCTGTAATGAGCAGAGTTGGGGGTAACACATTACAAGTTAAGTAACATGCATAGCACAACCGATTTAGTTTTTTACTGTTACGAGTAAAGTACAAGTAACATGCATACTTAATCAGATTACTTTTTGACCCAAGTAATGTATTACAAGCAACATGCCTTATATGTAAACAACACGTATTATGTAATCAGATTTTTTTTAATGTTACAAGTAATGTATTACAAGTAGCCTAACACGTAATCTAAACATTTCTAAAGAATGCTTTCAGCATCTTATTGAAGCAATGCCACGTAGAATTAAGGCAGTTCTGAAGGTGAAAGGGGGTCAAACACAGTATTAGTATGGTGTCCCTAATCCTTTAGGTGAGTGTATATTTGTTTGTGTTTTTTAAAGTCTCTTTGAAAAAGTTTTTGGCTTTTAGTATGAATATGTTAGCCTTACCGTTTTCTACAAGTGTGCTCCAAAATAATAAACTCACATCGGCTTGGTAATGGCAATGTATGTAGGGTCCACTGTAGAGGTTTGATGCAACTATGCCATCAAAACCCATACAAAATGCAAGTAAAAACTCTTAATAGCCATCCATGCACTGTAGTGACCTCTATGCATGAAATGGTGTGTTTCTGTGTTTAGTGGCTCTACAGAGACCATAGTGATATGTAACCTGTCAAATAGGCTACTGAGGGGGAAGTATTTAGACTTATTGACTCAGACTCAGATTTGACGAGTGTTGTTTTACACTATAATAAATAATACAAGCTCCTTGAATGCCATGAAGAAAATAGTAAGTCTAATCCAATCTGTTAATAAATAATAATAATAAAAAAAATATTATATAGGCCATGTGTGTTAGATATAGGTATTATTTAATAAAAAATAAAAATCTAATGCTGCAACACATTTTCACCCCAAGGCGTCACCTTTTGACCATGCTTCAATATTTGACACTTTTAGACGCGAGTTACTGTAGATGATCCGATCCTACGGCGTCGGGTAGGTTTAGGTCTGGGGTAGGGGTAGGGCGTCATCTAACTGACGCTAAAGGGTGCCTAAAGCGTCAGATATTGAAGCATGGTCAAATGCTTACCAAGGCACTGGTTATATTGGAATTCAAACTGTTAAAGAAAGACATCATATAGGATGGATAGATAAGATTTTATGTGCATGAGGTAGTCAGACCTAAAAAAAAAAAATATCAATAGTTTTTGTAGTAACACTTAATTTCTAAACCAATCATAGCTAACTGGCATATTCGTTCCTTTTTTAAAGGGATTTAAAAATGGCATCAGAAGAAACAAGGACTCGAGCCTCATTGTATTTCAAATTCTAATGGCTTTATTTATATATATATAGATTTGTATATATATATATATATATATAGATTTATATATATAGTTTATATAATGACTTCAATTGCTTGATTATCCTTTTTTTTTCATTTTTTTAGTTAAATTGAAACGACAGGACATAAAGAACAAGGCATTCCACATCATCATATCTTACAAAAAAGTAATGAAATCTTGAATGTGTGCACATCACACACATACATTACATAGATAATACACTTGAGTTAGTATAAAGTGATGAAATATGGGCATGACTGAATTCACTTTGACAAAAGAAAGCAAGAGTATAGAGAAAAACAGGAAAAGAGAGAGAGAGAGAGAGAGAGAGAGAGAGAGAGAGAGCATTGTTATGACACCTGATAAAATGAAAATGTATCGTTTTAATCCAATGAATCTGTTGCATAGTTTGAAGCAAGCTAAACTGATATTTCAGCATGATAGCGATTCTCACAAAAGGAGGGCTAAACAAAATCGGAATTTTCTACCCCGCCAATTAAAACACACACTGACTGTAGACACGGTTCATGATCTTTGAAAAGAAAGATCTTCTTTTCAAACACACACACACACATTGTTTTCTAAATCCAAGCGCACATTGACAATTAATGCACACTGACAATTAATAAAATGACAATTGAACTGCTTATGGTGATTTTTTTTCCCATCATGCAGCATGAAGGTTGACACAGCTGGGTCAACTTTACATGAATACAGCATGGATCAAAATAAGCTCACTTCACACTTTGATGATGGAAAACAAACCAAATAAATGTGCACTAATTTCAATCAAGAACATGTTGGGTCAACTTCTCATCGTTGGACACAGATTCAGTAACAGTATATTCCCTATACTGTCACAGTATAGCCCTTAAATCTACATTACATTAGGTGAGCACATTCTGTCATCTAAAGAGAATGTAAACAGACAGGACACAGAGCATGAGGCTTTTTAGATTAACCCGTCAACATTTGATATCAAATTATTTAAAATAAACGTAAATCAGATTCACTTTCAGTCAGAATCAATTAAGGCCGCCACACTTTCCAATAGCCAATTATCAGACACAGTTTGCTAATTTGTAATAAGTTACTCTGAACTAAATCAGACACAGTGGTGCAGGCTGTCCATGTGGTCCATTGGCACTTCTGTGATCCTAGTAAAAACCACAAACCATTCCATTTCTGTAAACATTTTGTCCTCTACTACTACTACCCAAAGCCCTTATCCTTCTTCAGCAAAGCTATTAAATGTACCACAGAAGCCCCAGTTGAAAAGCCCCAAATAGTTATGGCATGATTCTGATGAATCCTCACATTCACAATAAATACCAAGAAAAATTAGCATTAACAAATGAGCTGCGATGTCGAATGCGAGACTACACGTTCATTGGCCGATGTAAGCAACTAAATCTTAGATAAGTTTATTAAACAATGCTCTCTCTCTCTCTTTCTCAAAGCCCTCAATTAGAGGAAAAGGGTGGGAATAAAGACAGTAAAGGGAATCAGTGCATTTCAGGAAAGTGAAATGGGGACTCGAGTACAACTGTAGCCTACCTTGAAAATGCAAGTCCTTCAGCTTTACTGCGCTAGCGTCTTTCATCTTTGATGGATCATGCATGGATGAGAGTGAGCTGTCTGGAAGGAGTTTGTAACCCACACAACAAGGTGATGGAACATCAAAGCTCGTACCACTCTGCAATTAGGCAGTTCAATCTACAGCCACGGCTCATGGCTATAAAAGTAACGAAACGAAGCCAAAGCCAAGCGTAACTGGTAAAAATAAGACTAGAGATCTTTCAAGCACATACTCTGGCAGTCATTCCCCAATTCCCACACCCCCAGTAATTAGGAAATTTAAATGGAGCAGTGCTCTCCCATGAGGTCTAGACAAGAACGAGACGCTTTCATTTCCTCGTGACAGAACATTCTTCTATGAAATGGCATCGAGTCAGTGTGTGTTTCCTTTGCAGAGTCTATTGATAATGTGTGAGTGTGTGTTCTCGTCACATTCATTCTGGAAACAAACATTTGGGGACAGCCCATTCCATATGTAATCATGCAGAACATTGAACACATATATTGAACAATTACGATTACTTTCCAATGCAGTTTTTTCCCCTAAGTACAGCATGGTTTAAGCTACACAGGACATTAAAAATACCAATCGCACCAGATTGTACATATTGCTTTGAACCACCAATTTGTTTATAAGTAATGCATGCCACATAGATGATATTATGTTTATACAAAAATAACACCAGTGTATAATACTGTTTCATTTGAATTACAGAAATCGGATGTTCTCTTGACTGCTTTCCCCCCACAATCAAATACAATTTTAATTTCACTCAACATCAGATGTATATGCAAAATAAGTGGTTATAACTTAATGTTATATTCCAGTTTTGAAACACAATCTTTTATTTACAGCTGTGGTGAATCATTACCTCCCGAACAAACAAACAAACAAACAAGAACTGTCAGACAACTTCAGTAGAGTAAGTAATGCGATAAAATTCAGTTATTGCACAGCACCTTGAAGCGACTCTCGGTTTACACAATGCATGAGAAACGTGTGCAATAACAGAAATTGTTCTAAAAAGCTATTAAAGTGAACCAAAAAAAAAAAAAAAAAAAAGAAAGACAATTTTATAATTTTCCCCTTTTTTCTACATCAATCATGTCCAAGCAATGAAGAAATGAAATGGAAGGGGGCATTATTTCAGATCCTGGAGGGGAAAAAAAAAAACATTAGGGATTCAAATAAGGATGAAATCCAGTTATAAATTATTCTAAATGAACAAGAACAATTGCAGAACTGACTGTACAAAGCAACACTTTGGCAGAATTTATATAAAGCTCTAAACAGAAAACATTTGACTGCTTCCACATGAAGTCAAATCCATTTTGTGTAACATACAGTGCGTGTATACTTAATTTGTATCCAGAGTATGACAAAAAAAAAAAAAAAAAAAAAAAAAACGAAGTTAAAAATGACAACAGAGAATAATAATCTCAATTATTTTCCATAACCGACTCTTTGCCACTTTAATGGGTCATTCGGAAATCGCACAGAAAATAAACTACGATTTTTTCAGCCTAAAAGAACACTCTAGTCTAATAGATTCTAATTAGGTGGCAAATAATATATTTTAAAGACTTTGTACGGCCAGCACATCTATCTGTGGCTGCAGGTTTTGAGTACACAATTCGGGATAACTCGACCAGACCCCTTGACTTTACAGTAAACACGCAACTTTCTCAGCTCGGACATCGAATCTGACACCGCATGTGGTTACAAACGTGGCATAAATATTTATATCTATTTATAACTGCAATATGTACTCAACTGCTTATTTAACTAATTTGTCATGTCACCAAACTCTCCGGCCTATACACCTATATTTATATAGATTTTTTCCAAAATATTAAAAAGTACTTAATATAAAAATACAGAACAATTGTAAAAAAGGAACAAAACATTGAGTTTTATATGAAATTCATGCATGCCTCCCCACAATAACATACCATGTTCCACTTAAGCGAGATAACAAAAACTGCCAGTAGGGGGACGTGCAGCATTAGCCGACTGCCGTGGAACCGCTCCGTAAACATTAAAGTGGTCCATCTAGTTTTTTTTGTTGTTTTTTTAATCTAGTTTTACCCCTTTTTAATCTTTAGGCAGTGAATTTGGTTAAAATACAAAATAAACTGCAAAAACAATGGGATATAAAAGAACAATCTATAAAATATGGCTCTGAGCAAGTAGAAAAAGGTGTAATTGGAGGAATCCATTTAACCTAGACTGGTATGAGCGGAAGGTTGGTCTGTGGCAGTAGTATGTTTCATCTAATAAAAAGCACATGCCGTCGAGGCCGCACTTTTATGAAAACAGTCCGATCTAGTTTGTCATACAGGTTTCAACAGAGCTCAGAGAGTCCAACTGAGGCCCTAGCTGCATGCTATGGTGTGTGTGTGTGTGAGTGTTTTCTTTCCTTTTTTTTTTTAAATAGCAAAAGCATGCTTACTACGTGCAGTACCATTACTCTCACGGCTAAACTCAAGGATGGGATTTTGGAGTTCCATCAGTGCTGTCTGCGTAACGTGGAGCAGCCTGATGTTGGATAACAAGGAGAACACCTAACTGCAGAACTGAGGTGAGAAAAAAGTTTGGATTTGAAGGTACACCCATACAGAATCACTACTATCGCATTATTTTTTTTTTTATAGCGGAAACAAGTAAAAGGAAAATTCTAGTTATTAGTCGTAATCCCAGAAAGATTAGCATTACAATTCCCATTCCTATACAAATAGACACAGATGAACCTAAAGACAGATACATGCACACTATGGCGAGGTGCTGTACCTTTGATAAAGTACTTGGTCAGTTAGCATTTACAAGAGACTAGAGATGCCCAGTGGGTGTGATTTCGATGAGATGTGTTGGATGAACCTCCCTAGCCCCTTAAGAGCCAATCAGGTATTCTAAACTCATAGCTTTCAAATAAGTTTATTATAGTCTTTCATTCTGCTAACGTTCACTATAGCAGCCTCACATCTGTACATATAAAGTGACAGAACACCCAAAATGAGGACGATGTCTGAAAACATGACAAGAATGTAGTGTGTCTGAACTACTTAAAATGTCCATCGAGCATAAAATCATTTTAAAAACTGAAAGAACATGGGTAACTTCACTGCCGTGTTTTTCAATACACCTTAGAGCGAATTGAGAGAGAAAAGAAATCTATTTAAACAGCAATTTAGTGCATGATGAACACAATCAGCTGTATCAGCAAAAAAACAAAAACAAACAAAAACTATGTAAATGAGAGTCCAGGGACAAATAACATAAGTGATTACAGCATTACACAAGACCAGAGACATAATATAAAAATGAGAAAAATCACAACTGTAGAAGAGATAAAAATGTCAGTGACGGGCTGAGAGAGGGCGTTTGCCACAGCATCGCCCCCTAGTGTGTAGGTTAGGCCATGTGTCACATGGGCTGCAGGACAGCCGCATTTACTTACAGAGCGCTGCTGCTGCTGCTGCTGCCGCCGCCGACACAGTGCAAGTCGAGAGGGGCAGAGGGGTGGGGGAGATGGAGGGGAGGAGAAAGGGACCATGACCGCCCCATCAGCTGCTATAGGTGCTGCTGTCTCTCAGATGTGTATCAGCAGGGCTCCACCGGTAAAGTGATGCACAGGTTTTAATACAGAACAAAAAAAAGACGAGGATTTTGGGGCAGTTGCACTGGAGCGTGGAGGATCACATGGAGAATTCCAGGCTGTGAAGAGAGCGGCCAGGGGGTTCGCCGCCACCTCCATTTCTGGAAGAGGAGGGGAGCAGCTCGACCTCTACACAGCTCTCGTCTATCGTGGGGATGCGGTGTTCCTCCTCGGAGAGGGGTACAAACCCAGGTTGGGACATGAAGTTATGAATGGAGCTTCTGGATTCTGGCTTCTCTAGGCCCTCGTACAAGGAGCTACGGAATGCGTTCACCACCTTAATCTGCAGTGAGGAGTTGAGAGACAAAGAGAAGGAATTAGTGGGATCGCACTGGCATGGTGTCCGCTTTAGGGTGGGATGTACTGGATCTGGATGGGAACAGAAATATGGTCAGTGGTGGGAGATGATTTCCTTTCCACAATAGCACTCAAGCGCCTTATGAAATATACAAACAAATAAAAACCAACACAAAAACAACAGCACAGACAGTTGAATAGAGAAACAGGGATAAAATGAAAACCAACCATGACTGTAATGCAATTTCCTATTTGGGGCAAGTGAATGAGGAAATCAGGCATAGGATAAAAGTGTAAGTGGGACACATCAATCGCAAGCTTCAAAACGTTACAAGCAAAATGACAAACCACCACAGGACCACTGCAAAATGAGACGGACAAGCAACCAATGTTTTCTTTTTATGTCTCTTTATTCTATTGTTACTATTTGTGCAACTTTTTTTCAGTTTAATTCAAAGATTGAAATCAAGCTTCCATATGTTGCATAAACTCTTAACAAAAAAAATTACCCCATTGTAAAAACAAATATTTAGGTGAGATAAATGTAATAAATAAATATCTATGTCTATTGTAAACATATAAAAAAAACCTTATCCTGTTTGATCAAGGCATGCAACTGTTCTGACTTGTCGAATCAGGAATCGAAATCTAAAATCAAATCGAGAGCTTGCGAATTGAAAATCGAAAAGAATTTGAACATCTCCATCGATACCCAGCCCTGACTAATTTCTCATTTTAATTTATTTTAGTGTAATTGTATTAACATAATACATTTTAATTCAATTTAATAATTTAACTGAATCTGAATCTAAAAAAAACCCAACAACAATAAAATAGTAAAAACAATAAAATAAAGTCAAAAAAATATATTAAAGAGCCCCTATCATAGCATTTGAAATGTTCCTATTTTTGTTTTAGGAGTTCCCAAAAACAGTTTAACATGCATGCAAGGATAAAAACACTTTATTTGTCTTATAATATGCATTTATTTTTTAACCCATTTGCTTACCGACTCCCAAATGATTCGTACAACGACTCATTTTTCCAAACCACTCCTTTGCGTGACGCTAATCGGCGGTGATATGTCAGATGACAGACCCAGTCAGTTATTGTTTGTTAGCATAATGCATAAACATATTGATAAAGCACTGCAGTCCTACAAGACGCTCTATTCTTTATGACAACTCCAATAACAGCGACAAACATTTCACATATTTAAAAAAAAATGACATTGGAGACCTAGAAGCTGCGCTGAGTGTAACTTACACACACACACATACGTATTGCGCCTTCCCTCCTCGAGCCCGACGCTACAAAACCGTTCAAAACCCATAAAAGCAACAATTATTAATAATACTTACAGGTTGTGATTCATAGGAGGAAGCTGAGCCATATACACTGGGTAAGTAAGTTACGGAGCCCTCCTTCAGGAACAACCGCTTGCGAATCCACATTTGAATTCATTTATGTTTTTGAACGATTCGTAATTAAAATGATGAGAACACAATCGGGCTATACTGTTGTGGTATCGTTGCAAATATGAACTCTAACCACCGATTCTTCACATGCTCGTCCCTGGTAAATGAAAACAAAGTGGCTGAACTATCTTTGCATTGTAGAACACAGCGTCTTCTCGACATGATGCTATGATGAAGTATTTGAATGTGTAGACTTCAAGTTTACACTTCCGTCTGCGCGCGCGTGGCCAATATGTATCTACGTCTCGATGTAACAGCTAATGACTCGTTTCAAAAACAATTCATTTCATAGACTCAGAGTCGACTTTCACTTTTGAAAGACAACAACTTTACATTCGGTGCACTTTCAGATATAAATCTTTGCAGGATGTTTTCATTCCCTTAGAGCTATATTCCACACCATATGAACAGTCATTTTAAAAAATCCATCATAGGGGCTCATTAAAATGAAAACAGAGTGAGAGGATTCTTCCTCCATACAACTAGAGACAGCATTAAAATGCATAGGATGTGCATCCACTCCTTCAAAACATGCTCTGGGCCTCTCAGAGGATCTGTGTTGTGTGGTAAAACACCAGAAACTAATCTTGCTCTCTTGCAATTTTTATGGTTTCAACCTTGAGAATGACCATAAAAGACAAATGTGAATTGGTATAACTTGTTTTGTAAGGGGTCTGGATGTTTTTCCCAACAATACGCTTATGGCAACAACCATGTCTGAAGAATCTTCTGCTCTGACAGCTCAGTCAATCAGCAGTGGCTTAGTCTCTTCAATTTCTGTTTAATTCTCAGGTTTACATGATTGTACCTTGCAGCTATGTCAGCCATGCTCTAATTTTGGCTATTTATCATTATATTCAGATTCCGAAATATAAGAACAAGACATTATTATTACCACCATATGTATGAACGACTACTAAATAAGTTAACTGTGGGTAGGCTCTTTTGACTCGAGACAACCACCTAAAGACAATCTAGCAAATGCAGAAAACACATTCACGCATTTCTGCAGAAAATAAAATTCTAGTTTACATTTTAATACACTGCTTGGAAGGATATAGCTTGACTACATCTCTCAATATTTACACTACTATTTAAAAAAACGGCTTAACTAATTGAACCTTTAATTTCCTTTAATTTGCCTGTATATTTGGATATTCCCATCTATGGTTAAAAGAACTCTCTGACCCTATACAGTATATGGCTTGTGATCTGCCTAACACACACACACACACTAAAGGAAACCTACATAAGGAAGATAGGAAAAAACCTCCCTCACTCATAGCTTCTTCTAGAATATCAATGAAGAGAGATGGAGACAGAGTATAAAGTGTCAAAGCAGAAGACACAAGGTGTGATGAGAGAAGCTGAAAGCATGAGAGAGAGAGAGAGAGAGAGAGAGAGAGAGAGAGAGAGAGAGAGAGAGAGAGAGAGAGAGAGAGAGAGAGACAGAGAGAGAGAGAGAGAGAGTGTGAGCGAGTGTGTGAAAGCAGTTGTGAAAAGAGGGAGAGGGCTGGTGTAAAAAAAGAGAGAGTGAGCCAGAAAAGAGAAAGTTCCAATGAAAAATTCCAATGAATAAAATCATAGGGCATAATTCATTAATAGAATGAATTTCTGTGCAAATTGTTTGTAAACCCATTCTGGCAAAAGTTGTTGCAATGAATTTCAAAGTTTAAGATTTTTTTTATTTTATTTTTTTTATTATAAAAAAGGGACACATGCTTTTGTATTTCATGAATGTGGCCCATTGAGTGGATATTTACTCACCATACAGTATTATATGATTTGGGCCAATTAGATACCACTGTTGATGGGATTACACAGTGAAATGGATCAAAAATCATTGCCTAGCATCCGTCAAAATGTTCTGATGCATGAACATTGCTAACGGTCAAAACTCTTATACATGGATTTAATCGGTACTGTTTTACCCTTCATTGAGTAAGGGGTAGTTAGGACATAGTGCTACTGCAAACTGAGAATTAATAAAGTAAATATATATATAAATTGACTCTCGGCTAGACATCTGTTAAGTATATCCGTCTGACCCAAAAATAGCAAAAGAAAAAAAAAAACGTATAGCCATTACCTATATGTGTGTTATATAAATGTACAAATAAAATTAGGTGTTAGGCCACCCTAAAAAACTGGCACTGGTAACTCATTTGCAGACAACTGCAAGCCCATCCATATTAAAATCACATATGATGCACTGGTTCAGGCATAGGAAAAAATGCAAAGTGAATGAGAAATAGACAGAAATAATGCAGATACTGAGCTTTAGTTGTGGGAGATTGTGAAGGACCGATTGGGAATAAAAATTAAAAAGAGCGAGGAAGAGTGGTCTAAAAAAGGGTGGTTATTGGTTTACTGGAGGTTAACAGGCAGATCATGAAAGCATTCAGAATGGCCACCATGCAATGGCAGTGCTAGTTTCTGTTATGTGGCACTCACTGCCTGTAGTAGAAGAGGAAGCAGGGGCGGGCGGCCCAGCAGCTGCAGCAGAGTTGGCGGACAGGGAGGAAGAGGAAATCCCTACATGGGTGGGGCTAGAAACAGTTTTTGCGTCGTTTTGCTGGCTGACCACGGAGGGCTGGCGACGCAGGGCCCCAGGCACCGCCGTTTGGCCAGTCTGGAATGTATAAACCACATCCATCTGCAAAGAAGGAGGGAGAGAACGAGGGAGGGGGAAAAAAGGAAGAAAAGGAAAGGGAAAGGGAGTAAAACAAAGACCAAGGGCCAAAAGGAGTGGTTAGAGCAGATACATTTGTTATTTGAAAGAGAAGAGAACATCCCCTCAACCCCACAAATAAAAAGATAAGTTAGTACTAAGTCAGTCTGGCAGGAGAAGGGCTGGCACAGTAAAATAAAAAAGGAAGTTGTATGTAAGGAGCTACTTTTTTTCAGGAGAAAGGAAAGGCTTGAAGGTGTCCGCGAAAAAGAAACGGAGCACAAAGGAAACTATTTCTATAAAGTGATGAGTCTGAATCGTACTTGTGCCAATTATTCCTTTTTTTGTGTACCACTAACCATGCATGACAGACATAAAATAGAAATCCATGAGGATTTTGAAAGTGGGATGGTGGGAATGGAAGGGGTGAGATAAGGAGCTAATTAATAGAGTAGTGTTTTTTTTTTTTTTTTTTTTGCGGTCAGCTTACTGGCTCCTAATCAGGAATAAGAGTGAAGGGTGGTAGGAGGAAAGAAGGACGAAAGACTGCTTGGTCTCTTTTTCATCTCGGCTTGGTAGATTTAGCAGAGATGGTGATCTGGAACCACAGGGTTGATCTGAACGTATCCAGGGGACACACACACATTCAAATTATTTCTCCCTTTCACACATTACTGTCCAACTGACTTGTTCAGACGACAAAATAAGATTAGACTCAATGACATTCATGGCAAAAGTACAGAATTTAAGACTAGGGTTGGGTATCAAGAATCGGTTCCATTTTAGAACCGCTAACGGAAAAAAAAACTGGGGGATTCAATAAGATGCACGCATTTCGATTTCGCTTACCGATTCCTGATTTTGGGGCTTTTGCACATGCAAAAAATTGTTATTTCAAATGTAGGCACACGGCAAGTGCTTGCGGTGCGCTCGTTTTTCCAGAAAAAGATGAAAACATCTCAACTTTTCAGAATTTTTAAAAAAAAATATGATATAGCAAAATACAACACATGCAGCAAGTAAATTTCATGCAAGGGAGGAAGCACATAAAATATGAAGAAGCATTTGCTTCAACACTGCATTAAAGGAATGAAAAAGTGTTTGATTCGATGTCTCCCAGTCGCAACCCGATACATCTAAAATTAGCGGCAGCCACAAATAACATACAAACGAGCCAAAATTCAACTCCAATTTAGAGCTGAATAATTCAGAATAAACTGAGAATTTGGGTTTAAATTTGTTTTTATTTTGTTTAAAATGTAGATCATGTAGATTTAGTCTATTAAAAAATTATAATAATGCAGTGTCTCATTCATAAATACCTTTATGAATGGATGGATTTAATTAATGGACGATTAACCATTTTTGAACAAATCTCGAGTCTTCTTGAATAAATGATTCAATGAAAAAAAAAAAATTAACAGTCGATTGTTACCTCCTACTGTATTATAATCAACACAATCTTTATTTGAAGAGACTCCTTTCACTTGAGCCATTTTATTGGTTATTGCTTAAAATTGGCAAGAATAAAAGGTGGGAATATTTATTCTTCAAGTATTTGTCCTTTTTATTTTTCCTCCCCCCAAAAAATAGTGGATTCAGAAACAATAATCGATGAGAACTGGATTCGCTAAGCAGAATCGACGTTGCTAAAATTTAACCGATACCCAACCCTATTTAAGGCTGTTGAAACATTCATGTTAATATGGGAACAATATAGAAGGTGGTTGCATTAGAATAATGTAAAATGACAAAATAAAACAATTAAAATACAACAAGAATCAATTGTTTGACAGAACTTAGTAATTTTTACGGTAAAAACAAAAAAAAAAAAGCGATTTGGCATACCTTTAAAAAGATTTTTGAAATAATTGAATTAGAGGCGTGATTACATAGAGAAATAAGATTTGATGTGAATGTGAAAATTAACAGCCAACAAAAGTGGTGTTAAAACCATTTTGTTATTCCTTTAACACATTTATATATTGATCTACAACTTAAAACCCTAAAAAACATAATGAAAGCTGTTACAAAAAATGGAGGAATAAAAAAGAGAAGAGAAAAGGGTTTGAGATGGTCCCACATCGCAACATGATTCCCCCATGACCTGGCGCATTGCTGCAAGGCAGATTACACATCTCTTAACGATAAAAAACAAAAACAAAGCTGAAGGGAAGGGAAGCAAATCTAGAGGGAGAAATCATTGCCTGTGGAATACAATGACAATCTTCAGTGGGTGGTTTACCATAGTGATTTATATATAATATTCTAAATAGAACACCCTCTCAGAATGATCGCCCACCAACACGCAGACACTCCTGAAGGATCCAGATAAATACATCTGTGAACCCTCTGACTGAATCCACTCATTGTTCGTAAGCAGCAACACTGTGTAATGTATGAAGGCAATGGTAAGTGAAAGGAGATCCTCCCACACGGCCTCCATAAAAAAAAGTCAGTTCCCAGTCGTTTACTTGCACATCATCAGATGAAAGCAAGCAAATGTTGCATTTCCAGAGACAGAGTGAAAAGGATTTGTACCCTGTGAGCACAGTCCCCAGATATCTCCATGCAGATTGTGCATATAGTCAGAGAAACATTGGCTGCTCCAATGGCCTTTTAAGTGTCATCTCCAAGGAACATGCTGCTTTTCAACCTGGGCCACCAAAGCAGCTCATAAGTCCCTGCTCAGTCTTAAAAAGATGAACTGAACTGAAAAATTTCGACGTTGAAAACGTGTTGTTTATGACAATTAAAAGTAAATTACACTAAACATTTTTTTAAAATATATATTAATATAGCTTTTTTAAGCAACGCAAAATTGCGCTTGTTTGCGCTGGCAGTTCCGATGACGTCACTGGCATGGTAGGACCCGCGGAGCGCCATAGACAACAGCTGTAGGTCCTGTATACACAGACGAAAATGAGCACTTTTAACGGCATGGATTACGCATTTGAGCCCGTGAGGGACAGGCCGGTAGTGTCTGACTACCACCACATGGAGGACGATCAGTTTCAGGCTTCACTTGCAGTACAGGATCGTTTGGGGGGAAAGTGACTGTGGGCGCGAGCGCTGTGGAGCTAGACACTGCACGGAGACGATCTGTTGCAGAGAGGTCAACATGGACATTTATTGATCGGCGAAAAATGCATCACCATGCACCGTTCATTTCGGATGCTGTTCGGTGAGAGAAACGTGTTGAAGGAGGCTATGCTGTCTCTAATGGATGTCCGAGCTGAGACGCGAGCGCCCCATAGGGTATTTTACGAATAGGTGACGTCTGGGCTAACTTGTTACACTTTTCTCAGATTGTTTAGATTAACAGCGTACTGGCAGTTCACTCTATGGGCGAGGGTGCATTTAGGAAGGAGAAAATCCCATCCTTTACAGTAAACTAACGTTATACATCAGGGATCTTTTCCCCCTCACCCGAATATCAAGGATTCGAGTAACGTTAACGTGATGCATTGAACTTGTAACTTGTGTAAATAAAACATTTCATGCATTGTCAGACGTTTCATGTACTCATTGACGAAAGTACACATCTCTAAATAGTGTGTCGCTAAAAAATCTGTTTGCTCAGCCATGTCAGCTAGCCTCAGACTGTTTACAAGCTACGGCTGTTCTGCTGGTGCGGGTAGGCAACGGAGTGGCTTACCATGCCAGTGACGTAGTCGAACGTTGAAATCCAACATGGCGGCGCCCGTGTAACAAAAACAACACTTTTAATGTACCATTTTATCCCTTTTAACAAATTCTGCCATTTTAAAAATTGTACCAATGAGAATAAATAAAATACATCTGTTATATCACCTTTTCTCAAATTTCAGTTCAGTTCATCTTTAAGAGACTTGCTTTTCCACAAATTAACTCAGGGAGAAGCTTGAAGGCCACTAGGGTGATGTCTACATAAAAACAGCCACTGGCTGTCCAGAATATCCACTAATAATGCCATTCTGAGCAACGTACATGCTGTTTTGATCTTATCCAGTTTATTCAGATTAGCAAATTCAGATTATAAAATTGGGCAAAATAGATCAAACACTGTTCCATATATTTTTAAATTTAGCTAAATAAATAATGTATTGTGTAATTTTCAAAATTTCTTGCGGTATGTACTAGGAATGTGCACAAGTACTCGGACGTGACAGCGACAATCAATCATGAAAAAGATGATTGCCATGACAATTTTTTATTTTTTTTGGATTGGTTATTGCGGCATTTTAGGTGGTACCTGCATGAGGGTCTGACTGGTTAGCGTTAGAAACAGCATGATGTCCAGACTAGCTAAATAAAGTGAAAAATATGTATTTAAAAGTTTTAAAACCATGTTAAAAAAGCATGTTTTAAAACCATGTTTAAAAGTTTTAAAACCAAATATGGTAAAAAAAAGTCTTTCATGAAATGTCACTAAGATTTTCATGATATGTCACTAAGACCAAATCACAAACAATCCTAAAATGGCTGTTGCCAGCAATCTGCCTTAGTAATCCGCCCAAAGACACTGTACACCATTGCGGCAACATGTGATAGAGCCTTGGGAGGGGAGTCTTTTCTTGGTTAATGCAATAAGTATTTTGATTTATAGATTTTAATCTGCGATGACAGAAAATAAAGGTTAATTTATGTACAGCACTGTGGGCAGCTCGGGTGACCCCCTTTTTCTTTTCCTCTTTGATTTATGTCTATTCACTGTTACTATCATAATAAAAAGGCAACAACACCAAAAATAAATCTTTAAAAATAAAAGAATAAAATAAAATAATGTCAGATTACCTGTGGCAGTTGCATCATAAGTTCAGACTTACAAATGTTCGAATAGAGTAAAAGAATTTAGCATGCTGTCAGAGGGGAGGGCTCCAACCTTGGAATCGAGCCCAAACCCAGAGTACTCCCCTGTATCCCCAGCTGGGAATAGGAGGAACCAGCTGAGAGTGAGGTGTTGGGTGGCAGAGGAATGCAGAAAAGGTCTGTCGAGGTACTGTAACTAGGTGAGTCAGCAGTGTGTGTATATATATATATATATATATGAAGAGTTCAGATGCAAAAGCCTCTAAATGCCATTTGAAATTTTCTTCTAGAATGATGATTTTTATCAAGCTTGTATATTTAAGTTCAGTGATTTCACTTAAATGGCAATGATAATTACCTATTAATTGTTATTTAAGTGAAATTACTGAACTTAAATATACAAGTTTGATAAAAATGATCATTAAAGAAGAAAATTTCAAATGGCATTTAGAGGCTTTTGCTTCTGAACTCTTCATATATATACACACACTGCTGCCGATAAATCGGTCTGGCTCTACATCTCAAACAGCAATGCCCGACATTGACTATGATTGGGTTATTTGAGACAGTCATATTCCTTTTATATTTTTCATTGTAAAAAACATATATTATATAATTAACAATCCAGCAGTTATATTTTTCTCGTCATTTTTTTTCAACAGTAGTTTATAGTTTTTTGCATTTCTTTCCTCTCCAAATTTTGTTACCCTTTGAAATGAACAAAGTGGCATTGCAATTGTTAAACATTGAGAAAGGATATAAGCATAAAAAAATTGTATCAAAGTTAGATGTAAAACACAGATAAACCTCACATATTTCAGCACTAAGCCGCCAAAAAGCAAAGACGTTTCTCCAGACAGCACCTACAGTGGCAAAGTTGTGTGTATGCCACTGCTGTAGTATTTAAGCCATTAATACTCTCTCCTGGGATAATTGCTGGAAGGAAAGACAAGGAAAGTAGAACCAAAGAGCAGCGTACCTGAGTCTGGATACGGTTGAGTCCTCTGAACCACAGAATCTGTCCCCTGCGCATCTCCATCTCAGCGTGGTCAATTTCATCAGCACCTTCGGTTAGCACCTCATTAGTGATGTCCTCTTTGGGGATTCCGTGACCAGCCTCCTTCAGGAACTTGAGGCGGTGGGTAGGGACGGCAGTGACGAACTAAAGAAAAAAAAAAAATAGATGTCAATTGATGGCAACTGCTGCTCATCAAATAGTGTGTATTTAAAGTCGATTTGTTTCAAGTGAGCCATATCTTTAGATTCATTAATTCATTTAAATTAAATGGTTATAAAAATTCACTCATTAAATATTTGAAACCCAGCTGTTTTCAATTCAGTTATATCAATGGTGTTTTATTAGTTGTATTTACCGGTAGTATAAATGTGTAATTTATATGATCAAAAATTATCATCGTCTTTTTTTGATGAATACTGCTTTGATTGAAAATAAATCATGATGTTATACTGTTAAAAAGACATCAGCCCCCTTAGCTTAAATGTAGACAGTTTCTGCTAAGAGTCTCACTGTAATTTAACCTCTTTAAATTCTAAAACTAGTTTCAAATGGGCTTTCCATTACAGAGACACGCACAAACACATACCAGTGTTTGTAAATAAATAGCTTCATATATTTATTTGCAATCCCCCATATAGGTGAACCTGAAACGAGACATCACTGAGACAACTTACAGTAAACATGAAGTAGTAGTGTGTATTCTCTCTTCTATGCATCAAGTTCCCAGTATCTGGTTTGTGAGGACACACGCGTGTATGCACACAAACAAATGCTTGCATGAACAAACATCAGCTGAGAAACCCAGTAGGAAGTGGCTTATGTGTGATGCAACTGCCAGAAGGAGCAGACTGCTTGCAGCTTTAAAGACTTTATCCGCACTTGATAACTTCCTCTGCCATTTGATGACCTAACATGATGCGTCAGTCCTGCATACAGAGTTTTAACTGTACTGTAAGCATGGCTAAATGGAGGGAGAGGACCTTTCATGTGCTGCGGGGTTGATGAAGCTCACACCTCCCTGTTCTCTTCTTTCTGAGCAGAACTATGAGATGGCAGCAACCACTCTCTTGAATTGTGCCGCAAGTTGCCGTCTGCCAGCCTCCCTCGTTCCCTCCCACAGGTTTGAATTCGCACACAGCTTCACCTCCCCATCCCCTAGCCTTCCGGTGGGATTGAAGAGAGAACTAAAGATGTTCCACATCACCCACGCGTGTGCATTCTGCTTTGTGCATAGTGATGTTTTCATTATTTCTCTCTGGTGACTTTTGTCACCTGTAAATCTAATCTAACTCAATAGAATGCTAGTTTTTACTCTGAGTGTTAGTCTTTACTGATTTTTTTTAAGATCGAAAGAATCAACAAAGCTACTGATTAGTGATTAATAATGACATGCAGAGAGAATTTGCCTTACCTGTCCCCAGAGCAGCTCACCGACCCCGATGAACACACACCAGAGCCACTGATCGAGGGTGAGGGCTGTGCAAGAGAACGGCTTCCCTCCAAACTGCACAATGATGATCTGTAACAAGGTGTATTCCATTAGTCCAGCTATACTGCAGTAAAGCAATAAGCAAGTTATAACGCACTTAAATGGTGAAAATATTTGTAACATATGGACTTTTAGAGAAGAGAATCACAGTCAAACAGTATATCCATAATAATATATCCATTATAAAAAAAAATCTACTCTTCTTATAAGCTTCAATAAAGAGACTCAATTAAATAAAACGAATTCGATAAAAACGTTTACCTGCAGAGCAAAGGTTCCCAGTACGACGAGGCAGAAAATGGGATTCCGATAGATTCCCTCAAACACGTTCCTCTCTCCGTGGATCTTGCGGGCATTGATTTCGTTGAAGAGCTGCATCATGACAAAGACGTTGAAAATTATGGTGTAGTGTTCAGACGGCGGGGAGTGGAGAGGGGAGTTCCGGCCGCTATCAATGCTAAAGAACTTCTCACCTTTGGGGACAGAAAAATGTGTTCTGTAAATAAGTGATGTGAAAGTTCAAAATGCAGTGTTGTATGTCAGGAGGAGCACTGATGGGAATGAGCAACAAATGTGTGTTACTGTTCATTAAATAAAACTCTCCTGAAGCACTATGGCATGCTTTAAAGGGATACTTCACATTTTTTGGAAATAGTCTCATTTTACCACTCCCCCAGAGTTAAACAGTTGAGTTTTACCGTTTTCGAATCCATTCAGCCGATTTTCTGATCTTTAGAAGAATGTCAGTAACCAGACAGTTTCTGGTCTCATTGACTTCCATAGTAGGAAAAAAATATACTATGGAAGTCAATGAGAGCAAAAACTGTCTGTATACTCATATTCTTCTAAATATCAGAAAATCGGCTGAATGGATTCAAAAACGGTAAAACCCAACTGTTTAACTCTGGGGGAGTGGTAAAATGAGCCTATTTCCAAAAAAAGTGGAGTATCCCTTTAAGTGGTCTATCGCACTGTAGGGAACAAAGACCAGTAGGAGTTACAGATAGACAGTCTATTACTGACAGTTTTTCCCCATGAAATTTGGAATTGGGATGGATCCCAAAACCTAATATATTTAATATGAAAACCTAACATGGAAAAAATACAATATATGTTTGACAAAATAGATCTTTATGCATTTTTTAATGTATCTTTATTGCATTTATTAATGTAACAGTAAGAATAAAAAAAAAAAATAAGATTAAGAAAACAAGACGGTGACTACCTGTAGCTTTTGTTAACATTTGAGTCTACAAAGTTGCAATGATGGACTTAAATTTTAATTTCTGTACAAGAACTCAATAATATTTGCTTATGGATATTTTAGCTCATTTCCAGAGATTATATTTTTCTCAAGAAGGTTTTTCCCTATAATATCCAGTACTGTAAAACATTTCATGGTAAAACATTTGTGTGCTTGAGGCAAATTCCGATGCTTTGAATATTGCAAATATAAAGCTAGTTGCTAAGCAACCATACATCAAATCAATCCTATAGACAAAATACAATTAGCTAGTCCCTTCCTGCAGAGAGTTTTTACTATAGTTCAAAATGCCATAAAAATTAATTTTAACTTAATTCATCAAATTTGCTAGCCTGGGAAAACCCAGATGAATTTCCAGCAAATATGAGATTTGTCAGCAAGTCAGTCTGGCTAATTTTTGCAGATCGAGACACAAATCACAAACGTTGAGGCTGGCTTTACATAATGACGATTGCTCTGATTGGTTTTAGGTCTATCCAATTGCACCCGGCATTTGACGTCTGTTGGTGATGCCCCTTTGGAGATGGGCTGTGAATAAACATTCCCCAGGCCCACTCAGTTACAACTGACAGGGATGCAAACACACATATGGTCAAAGAAGAGAGGTAACCGAAGCCTTCGCCCCACAGAAAATATCCAGAAACTTACATTGCTACCATCCCTGACCCATCTCTAGGCACATATAGTAAATATGTTTCAGCCTTTAAATCATTTTTCACAACAAAAGGTTTTATAAAAAGACAAATCTCACATACAATCATTTTTCACAAAAATGATTGTATGTGAGATGTTATTAAAGATAAACCTCCCATATGACAGCCTTTAAATCATTTTTATAAAAAGAATGAGTAAAAAAAAATTACTAGACATTTACATTAATGCACATTAGTTTATCTTTTATTATTGATGGTAAAACGCACGGGCGCGTTTCTGCATAGTGAGCGTCTCATCATAAATACAGAAGTCTCTTACCAGCAAAGAGAAGAGTAAATGTGATGATAAGCTGGTAAACGGCATGACCTAATATATTCTTCATCATAGTCCTGGAAATGAGTGGTTTGTTCCGGCCGTAAGGTCTTCTCAGTAGGAGCGATTCTGTTGGGGGTTCCGTTGCCAGAGCCAAAGAAGCCAGGGTGTCCATAATGAGATTTACCCACAACATCTGAACGGCTTTAAGTGGAGAGTCCTGCAGACACAAAAAACTGGAGTGAGACTTCAGAAAGGACACTACTTCAGTATTGACATATGTAATGTAGTTAGGCAGGGACACAATAAGACTGTCCAGCTCCAGATTAGCCAAAGTCTGGCACCAAGACTAAATGGCCAGAGTATATTTCAATAAATATAAAATATTTTGACTTATACTGGAAGTATTCTGTTATTATGGCTTATGATGAATTGCCTCCCTTAATGCCATCCTCAGTCACCAAATACTCTTCATTTATACAGATTATTTTCCTGAAACTGAGCTATTTATTTTTAAACTTCTCTAGTGGTTATTTCTCCGAGAACATATGCTAATTTTTAAGTCCTGATATTTATATTAAAGAGGACATCTTGGGATTTTAGACATACAAGGATAATGTTCTCTCCTTTGTTGATTTTATGTTTGTTTGAATGTTGATTATATTTTAATTATAACACATTTTTGTCTCATCATCTATTTACAAACTATAGATAATTATACGAATTTTCAGTACTTTTTTTCCCTGTAGCATCTTGCTTTATTTTTTATAAATGACTTGATGTGCTCTCTGTGTGTGTGTAATATCCCTTTTAAATCAATATTATATTTCCTTCCCTCAAAAATCTGTTTCTATCTAAAAACACAAAATAATAATATAATGGTATATAAAAAGTCAATGTTGAGTCCCAGGAAGTTAAACTAGAAGATGTTAAATGTACCTGTGTGATGCAGGCCCCAGTGAAGGCAACAATTACAGCCACCACATTGACAGTCAGTTGAAACTGCAGAAATTTAGAGATGCTGTCATAGACATTACGCCCCCACATCACAGCTTTGACGATACTGGTGAAGTTATCATCGGTAAGGATGATGTCAGAGGCCTCCTTTGCAACATCTGTCCCTGCAATTCCCTGTAAGATAAAGAAAGAAGCTGTTTTTAGAGCGTCTGTGTAAATAGCACAGCAGTCTAATGACTGAAGATGCAGACTCATTGGATCCCATTAACAAGAAGGTTGAAAAAGGAATAACCTAACCTAAGAACCAAGTTAAAACATTATCAAAGTAAGCTTGCAGGTAGCGACTTTAATAAAGTAATTACATGTAAAATAACACTGGATAGTCTTCACTGTATAAATTAAACATGGATCCTTATTTTAGTCTTAAAAAGTCAGTCAAGAGCAGTTAGTGATTTTCTCTTCGTTTTTTCCTTGATTTACATGATTAATGACAATATTACAGCACTAAGACCTGAAGCACATGACGAGTATCCCGATCTGACACGCATCAGATGTCCTCACCACTCTTTGTGTTCATTTAACACTCTTGAACTCATTTAAGTCTGTGCTTAGGATGATACTCGACAAGCAAATATTTTGGCATACTTTTGTGTGTTTTGAACGAAAGAAAAACTGAAAAACACGCAAACAAATAAACAAAAAAAATACATGATTTACCATAGCAAAGCCAACATCTGCTTTTTTAAGGGCAGGGCCGTCGTTAGTGCCGTCTCCAGTCACAGCCACCACCTGTCTTGTTTCTCCAACTGTGCTGTCAATGATGCCTAAAAGACAACAACAAAGGAACTGCCTCAGGATAAACCAAAATATGTGCTCATAATAATGGGAGAAAACACCAACTCCCCTCCAGTGGGTTTTTTGAACAACTTATTTTATATTTTAATATTCTAATACATTGATGTAATACAAAACTGGGGTTAGCAGTGGAAATGTGCACTAAAATATCACCCAACTATTCGTAAAAATCTTACCTTTAACCAAAGTGTGTTTATCTGTTGGGGAAGAACGAGCAAGAACACGCAGTTTGGGCCAGACCTTGTCGAGACGCTCTTGCTCAACCTAAAGATAAAGGCAACGCTAAAATAAGCACTTTCTATGTCGCTTCAGACATCTGTAGTCAAAGTGCTACAACTTTTTACCTCTCCTTTGTCATTACGAATTTGCTGGTTGAAGTCTTTGCCCTCCATACACAGAAAGTCCTCTCCAGGCAAAAGGATTCCACATTTGGTGGCAATGGCACGAGCCGTGTTTATGTTGTCTCCAGTGACCATGCGGACTGTGATGCCTGCTCGCTGACATTTAGCAATAGCCTCAGGAACCTACACACCAGAGGAATAGCAGGACCATTATTTGGCTTGGTACAAAGCATGTTGGGCAGCCACTGCCATATCATTATCCATTCAGACACTCCAAGGTCTCAAAATCAGTTTACTGTTGGCAATGTGTTGTGTAGCTTCGTCCCTAGCCGCATCCAATGTAGACTGCATTGCTTTCTTTTGAGGGCGCTTAACACACTCAAGCATTACCGTAGAGCCGGGGCGGGCAGCTTGCGCCGATGAGTTTGGTAGGGGCTACATTCTTGCAATTAAATAATAAAAGATTAGATGGACAAAATAATCGGTCAGGATAACTATCCTATGTCTGCAGGCTGATAGTCATGTTTGTTATTTATTTTTCAAATTTGCAGATTAATCTATGGTAGCTTGATATTATAATATTGACGATATGGCTATTATCTACCACACAAACACTGAATTGAATTAGCATATCCAATACGTATAACAGTAGCCAATAGGCTAGCATTACTATAAAGACGCTGGCTTGTAAACCGTTTAAAAAAAATAAATAAAGCCCATGACACTATATTTATAAGACGTGCTGAAATATATGCCAATGTACCTGGAATGAAGACATTTCACACGCAACGCTTACAGTCTGCCCAAGATGTGAGAACTCCTTCCATCTGCAGAGTTCGGCGGTATCGCTTGTCAACAAATTTACGCGTGTATTCCCTAGTGTAACCATGACAGATTTTACGACAGTAGTAGAAGACAGTACTGTTTCCCAACTGTAGGGGGGCCCGAGAGCAAAATATCAAAAGTAACATAATGCTGCTTTAATATGTTTATAAGCAACTGAAAAATGTCAGGGCAAGGACTCCAAAACACCTTTTTATAGCCAGAGTCGTCTGACAAATTACACTTACACAATTACATAAAATGTACATATTGGTGGTGTGTAATATTCCATCTCCTTTCCAAAATTAAAAAAAAAAATAATAAAAAAGGTCTGGAATAACCAATTTGCCATCTTGTGTAATAGTCTGATCAAAAAAAAAAATACTTGTTAAAAACCTTTTATTTATGATTGGAGTGACTTCATATAGCATATTATTAATGTAGCTGTGGCATCTTGCTGTAATTAATCATATTTATGAAATGTTTATATATTATAAAGGCTTGTCTCCATGGAAAAGAAACTTTCCTGCATTTGGGTGTCATTATGGACATCATGGCTAAAGGCAAGACAAAATTGTTCCTCAGTGTCATTGCTGGGCTCAGATCAGTGAGTCACTCTTGATGTGGCATCCTGACAAGTTTGTGGTGTGTGTTAAGCCGTAAGGGTACCGACAGTACTTAAAGCATGAAGGGGCTGGATCTAGAGGTTGTGTCTGTGTGTGTTGGAGTCCTATGTAATTATCCTCACTCAAGTCTTGCAATGAATCACATACCCCTAATTAGAACCAATAAGCTCATTTATTTTTAGATAATTAAAAACCTCCCAGTGTTTCTATGGACAGAGATGCTGCACAAGTGATGCATGTGAAAAACATGTCGCATGATGCAAAGAAACTAGAGTGTGCATTAATAAAACTCCAGAATTGGCTCTTGCAGGGCCAGATTATCCATAGACAGGATTGGGTGAGTGCCCTGGGGGCACCAGCCAATAGGGGGGTACCAACTGATTAAGAGATTGACTAAACCTTAAAAATAGTTTTCATGTCATGTATATATATTATTTTGCAGGAAGAGATGCAGATATAAAACCAACAGCTAATGATAAAATACATACAGAGAGAATTATAGAGTATGTTTATAAAGAATTGTGATTGGGTCAGGTCACAGTGACAAGACTATTTCTTTGAAATAAAGAAAGGAGAGAGACACTAATCGGCATCACCAGCAGAAGCCACTAGCAGCGAAATATGCCTCAACCGATAGGCGGTAGCCGAACACAAAGTCTATAAAAAGTTTTTCTGCTTAAGGTAAGACTTATTTACCATTATTTCAAGGAAAATACTGTATGTGACACAGTTATCGATTTGAAATTTTTGTAACAGTTTTCTCTTTTAGCGGGTTGCTTACTTAGATGTTATTACATGCATAACTTTTGTTTCAATCGGACTGAATTCATTCCGATTGATGAATCTGAATGTAGTGTATCCATTTCTGTACAGCACATTTAGAATTAGAAAGGATGAATTTTATTTCACACTGTAAATGGGAACAGAGATAAAATGGATTGTACCACTTAAAAAAGCCTGCAGGAATAAATTTGACCTAAATATCAATTATGTGTTCTATTTAAGGGTCGGGGAAAAAAATCGATTCTTAGATGCATCACGATGCGGACGTGGACGATTCTTGATTGATTCACAAATGTCAAAAATCAGAAAAAAAAAACTTTCTTGTTAAATCTTTCTAATAACCAAATATTGACGGAACACAAAAGGTGTAAGTGCAGACCCTGGACAGTCTGTGGCATGCGCATAACAGAGATGTATGACGGCTGAGCGCGAAATCCGAACGACACCCTCTTTGTTAAAAGCTAACATAAGGAAAATTGGCATTTTTCCTATTTTTGTAGGTTTTTATGTTTTGTTATATGTAGGTTTACTGTACTGTCCTCAACAGGCACAGTGTGTATAAGTGCAATGCCAGTCACAAAAAGCATAACATTACTAAACATTTTGACTGTGCAGATGTTCATTTAATTTTTTTGTATTGTGGTATACAGTAACAGTTTCAAGTCATAAATATTAGATTTTTTGTGTATAAGAGCAGCTTTGTATTCTACGAATTATTCAGAATATGCGTGAGTCCACAAACATTATTTTCGCATTAAAGCTGCTGGTACATAATTCTATATTTTTAAACGAGAGCTGGTTGTGATTTTGATTTCTTTTTTGTCTGAAGGATCATATTGCTCACTGCACATAACAGGAGGATGTTGGTTAGAAATTTGCTATTTTATGTTCAGATTCAGAATATGCTGAAGTTAGTATTCAATTACTACACATATGCCACTAGTACAGGCACGCATTTCTTTTCCTGTTGGTTATTTGCAATGTTGGGACATATGCTGGCAAATGTAACCTTACAGTTGACTTGACAAATAACTTCCATTTATTTTATTAAATTAAATTCTTTATCAGTGATTAGAAATACTTTGCTTTAAAAGTACCAAGTAGTCACACACACAACAAAGTAACACACACATCGATATTAGTTTTGGCATCGCAGCCCTCTGAATCATAATCAAATCGAATCGTGAGGTGTCAAGTGATTCCCACCCCTAGCTCTATTATAGAATTATATATGCCACCTCATTTGAGGGAAGTCGACGTCAATTTTGCACTGATCATATATCCATGATCAAAAACAGCACAACCATCTAGCCTGTCGTAATTATTTTAAGGGAATTAGGTCAGTTTGTCGCTCCACCGATGAGGCTATTCCTGTCCACACTTTGACAGTGTTAGACACTCTACAAAGAATTCATCATCATCACATGATAAACACGGTCAATACTTTTTCATTACATGAAATGTGCCGGGTTGCTCCTATCGAGACAAGCCGGCCCCTTAATGCGTGTCATGTCTCATTACTAATGGAGGCCTGAAGTATACAAATGTCCAGCCCTGCACTATGGACAAACACATTGCTATCAGCAATAAGCAAACTAGATCATTTTTCTCACCTCAGGACGGACAGGGTCTTCAATGCCCACAACACAAATGCAGGTCAGGTCATTCAGAATGTCAGCCTCGTTTTCCCAGTCTGGCTCGGTTGTGAAGTCCCTCATGGCTATGCAAATGGTCCTTAGCCCGTCACAGGCCATTGGCTCGATAACTTTCACCACCATCTCATCCCGATCTTTGGCCTTGAAGACACGTTGCTGGCCTGAAGCATCAAGGATATGGGAACACCTGACAGACAAGTGAAAGGTTTAATAAACAACAAACAATCATTACAGTTTACTGTAGGAGGAAAATGAAACTATCTGGAAAAGAACTCAAAAAGGAAAAAAAAAAAAACAGGGGAAGAAAGGGAAATAAAGGGGTCATATAAGACTATTCAATTTTACTCATTTCATGACCATTTATGATCTATAATAATAATCAATTTATCATCATTAACATATTGTTATGTTTCTTGTGTAATATTTCATTAGTTAGCATAGCAAGCTATTCATTAATTTTTGTAAAAAATCTGAATAAGCAGTGATTTCTCTCATTTAAAAAAAAACAATATTAAGAAGACCTGGAGTCTAATAAACAAAAGTTACACAGAAAAAAATAAATGGTAGCTTATGTAGGCTATATAACTGCACTTGTTTCTGAAGCACAAACATGACATTTGTAAATAAAATAATTTTAAATATACACACGTTAATTATAACTAATATATTTGAGGAAATAGTTCCTTGAATATCTCTGCAGCTCTTCTGTCAAATTAATTCATGCTATCAGAGTTTCCAGTGTTGACAGTCCCATTAAAAACTATTGGGAGCATTGTACATTTACTGTAGACTGAATTTAAATAAAATATACAAATAACATTTTTAAATGGCTTCGGTTTCAGAATAAATAAAGCAATATTTTTATTTATTTATTTTCTCCTAAGCGGAAACCGGTAACACTGGAACCGGAACGAAAAAATAGCCTAGCGTTTTTGCTCATAACAAACCAATTCCTTTTTAATGCCTGATTTGAAAATAGCAGTCTACACTATGCTTTATAGTTTGTTTGTTTTTAACTGCACTAGAACTGTAATTAATGAAATTAATCAGGTAATGCATAATGAAATGTGTATTTAGGCGATAACGGCAAAAAGAAAACGTGAAAGAAACACACACTTATTTAACGTTTCATAAACAAAACCACCAGTATGGCAGGCATGGTTTTTCTATTTAATTTTTCTGCACAAATTGCACTGCAGATAAGTAGTGGCAGCTGTCTGTTGATATCAATGTTTGTTTCAGTGCAAGATCTCGCAAGATCGTTGAGTAGTAGTGTAGTGGACTGACTAGGTTTGTGTTTCTCTCTGACTGTAAAAGACTAATATGCTCCAGTCGATGGAAACAGTCTTCAAGGCCGTGTGTCCACCAAAGTGGTTTTAGCCAGCTGAAAATGCCAGATGCTCTGCTGAAGATGCCGTGCTTTGGGAGCTTTTTTCCGTAGAGACGTTTCGTTGCTATGATACAGAATATCCGCAGCACAGTTTACTTGTAACTGATTTCGTAGATAATTTGTTTCATACTAAAAAATTATTTTTCATCCATGTTGTTCGGTTAGCTCTGCTGGTTGATGATGTACAGAAAGAATGTTGTAACATTTGGTCAGTGTGGTTTAGTCCCGCCCCTCCTCCACTGTAATTGGACGGCTGGGTAAGAAGCGACAGTGATGAGCGCTGCGTTTTATACAAAGTTGAACATTTTTAAACTCTTGTCGACCAGTAAAAAACGCGAGGCGTTCAGCGCTTCATTACGCTCATGGCATTCTAAAAATGCGGCGCTCCCATCGAAAACAATTGAAAACATACGCCAGGCGCGTGGAAAAAACGCTTTGGTGGACACTTGGCCTAAGTGTTTGAGTTTGGTCATAGAATGTCTCAGCTAGTCATCAAGTATAGGGCGTTTTTTACAGCTGAAAGTCCACACCAAGGTCTGAACCAAAGTTCACGTTTTGATGCATTTTATACTTTCAGAAAGTTTTGGTTTGGTTTAACACTGCAATTATGCGAGCGCACTAAAGAACTTAACATGACATACTTGCGTCCTGTCGTCATCATTTATGTGGGCTGCATCTTGACATTGATTGGTTTGTAAATGGCAGTGCGTCTGACGTCAGCGTGCTGTCAATTCGGCGGGTAACTTTGACAACATGAATGAACAGACGCATCTCGTTGCAACTATATTGTTATTTTTATGGCATAATTACCTGTAGCATATATACACAAGGCTAGTTCAAATTCGCCATCCTCGTCGTGTGAGCATTATATCAAGTTGACTTCTTATGTCATCAGACCATACTTCAATTAAAAACCTCGTCTCCTCATCTCCCCATGTGCTACCACGGCTCATTTTTCCTGCCACCATCTGTTTTTTTGGCTATGCGGGAACCACCGAAACTTCTTGTAAAAGGTCTGAAAGTCCGAACCATACAGACATGCTTTCACACTAGAAACGAACCAAACCATTTGTTCAGTTTGATCTGGACCTAGACTAGCTCTTTTCGTCAGACAAAATTTCATCTGTTCGGCCCGGAACGTGGTTAGGTTTCACATATGTAATTTTGATTTGGACCAAACTGAAAAGTCCATACCAAACAAGGTAGGTGTGAAAGGGCCCTTATATGTTTTGGGTTTATAAGAAGTCATTCAGATTTCTGTTTTATTTCAATAAATGGTATTTTTGGACTGAAAGTTTATCTCAAATGATCAAGTATACTATGATATGACCTCTTTAAGAGTTTGAAGATTGGTATATTTAGCATACTTGCGCAGGAGAATCTCTGAGGCGCCCTTGCTGTACATTCGGAAGCCGGGACCATTGGAATTCTTTAGAACGGTGCTCATACTCTTCCGGCTGGAGTTGAATGTGTACACTTTATAAAGCTTCTCCTCAGGAATCTCATCTCTAATAGGCTGGTAGTCTCTCTTCAAATTCATCACCAGACCAAGAAGGGAACACTCTGTCTTATTACCCACGTGCCTTGGCAGACCTCCCTCCTTCTCTGGGGGCTATGGGAAAGAAAGATAAATTGTGAATAGCACACAAGAAAGGTTCAAGAAAAGTAATTGTAAATTGATTGTATTAAATATTACAACTATTTTATCAAATTAATTCTATGTAATTACATTTTTGATTTATATTTGCTGAGAAAAGCCAAAAACTAAGATACTAAGATACAAAAAGTCTAACATGTCTATTGAATAAACATGACAAAAATGGTTGAAGACATAAATCTGTCTAGCCACAATGCATTTCACAATTTGTGTTGACAGTCCATTTCAGGTGGACCAAGTATTTTTTATTAATATTTTTACTTTATTAAATTACTAAGAACAATACTAAAATGAAATGGCATGTGATTTTCTCATATATTTTTAATACCCTAGTTCAGACAGGATGTGGTGTTGTAAACCACCTGATATTTGCTTTTATTGTTGGTCTATGTACACAAAATGTATCTCTATGGGCATTGAGTTCCATCTCTTTCCATCACCATCTTTTTAGCATCTTGCACAATTACAAAGTTAACATGCTTCGAAATGAATCTCTGTGTTAAGTTTTATTCTGTGCTCTGTCTAGCTGTTCTTTAAATTGCCTTGTGTGAATAGCTACTTAGTCATTTTGTGCTGTCTGCTCTCGATAATTGCGTTTTAGCTGGGGCTGACTGTGGACTTTTAATTTGATAACCCTATAATTAATAAACAATGAATGAGTGATCTGTTGTTTTGTTTATCACATATACATAAGGCTAGTTCTTACCAGGATCTTGGTAGTGTATGCTGAGTTTATGGAGATGCTGTTCACCAGTATCTCCAGAGTCTGTGGATTTATGGCCTCTGGTTCAGGAACGCTTTTATAGTGTTTGTCACCTATGTAAGCCTGCACCACCGTCATGCGATTCATAGTCAGCGTTCCAGTTTTATCAGAGCAGATGGCAGTGGCATTACCCATGGTCTCACAGGCATCCAGATGCCTCACTAGGTTGTTGTCTTTCATCATTTTCTGTCAAGGAAAGAGTTAATCTTGTTTTACTTGGGGAGAGAAGCGTGTTTAGCCCTTGAACACAGATTAGCAAAAATTTGGAGAATCATGTGAAATTTACTAACTTATAACCACCCGAAGGCCCTCAAGATGAACAAAATACAGTTTTGTGTTTGTAAACTAATCCAAAGGGTCTCACCTTGACAGAATACGCCAGGGAGATAGTGACAGCAAGAGGTAGCCCCTCAGGCACGGCCACCACCAGCACAGTCACGCCAATAATGAAAAACTTCACAAAGTACTGAATGTAGATGGGTGTACACTCTGCTGTCCACTCACGACCTTGGATGCCAAATGTGTCAATTACAAAGTAAAGGATTAGGATAATGACGGTCAATGCAGACATGATGAGACCTGCCGGAGGAGAGGGAGTTACAATAAGACCAATACAATAATAGGGAATGCAGAGCCTTCTAACTTTTGTTCATAACGGCAACAGCTGTGGTCTGATATGCTCTATGTAAATGTTATTTGATTGGGTAACTGTACAAAGTAGGATAAATTAGGTGGAACACAGCCCAAAGGGACAAGCCTGTTTCCATATTGGGAGACACTGTTTCTTTAAGTAGTAAGTAAAACAAACCTTGGTAAGCAATTGAACTAATTTACTGAAAGGACATCTGACGAAATATGTGTTAAAGATGTTAAATAAAAAAATAAAAATAAAAAAAAAACGAACAAGTGTGCACCTTTAAACTACTATTTTTTTTAAATACTGTTCACAATTGAAGGTTGGCTGATGTAGGTTGAAAAAAAATGTGAATCAGAGTTTCAGTGAGAACTAATTAATGTAAAAATTACTCAAGCTAACCAACAAAACAGTTTTTGTTATTGAAATTTAACTTAGAGACAAAATATCTGTTTTTAACAGACCAAAAGTCTCTGAGACATTTTTTTTTTTAAATAATTTTATATTGATAAACAAATCATTGTAATTCTATAATTTAACCATCTAGACCAATGAGTTAATCAGGTACCCTTGACTCTCAGTTATGTGTGGCTTCCTAACCTGCTTTTCCAATCTGAACCGCTAGCCTAGTCAGCTTGCCCTGAAGGACAGACTTTTCTTTCTTGGTGACGTTGACCTTCTTTTTCTCCTTTTCTTCCTTTTCCTCCTTCTCCTCGGACTCTGTACCTTCCTCACTCTTCAGAGGTTGGATCTCCAGGGCGATCCCATCCTGGGTCTTAGCTGTGGAGGTTGATTTCAGGAGTGGTTATGGAAACAAGGGAGGAACATGCCAAAAAGGATGGAGATGAGAGGTGGGGAATGGGAAAAATGGGAAGAGGGGAGGAGAGAATGGGCAATTCAGTAACAGCTAGAAAACAAGTAATACAGTGGGTTCCAACAGAATAATCATATCAGAAGCACATATTTATTGTTAGATGACTTTGCTTGAGTGAATCTAGGCAGGTGAGGAAAAAAAACTATAAATTCATGGAGCCATTCCCCGGCAGGTTAAGGTGAGCACAGTAAATTTAAATTGGATTCAAGCAGCAGACAAGACATTTTGATTATACCGGACCCTATGTTGTCAATAGCCAATGAGCTTCTGAACTGTTATGAAATATAAAATAAAAATCATTACATTTGTTATTAGCGGTGTAAACCTTTGTGTAATCTCATACACAAGTTTTTGAATAAACTATCTTAAACTGACAATGAAAATCTCTTTTTTGGATTGGGGGATTGTTTTGATTAGGCTGAGATTAAATTAGCCTTATATTTCTCTTATGGTTTGAATTAATGTGCCATCATGGCTATTCTGGTAGTCGTATTTGACAATGTTCAATTCACTTTTAAAGCAACTTAAAGTACTGCAATATTGTAATACCAAATAAATGTATATTATCTAACCAAACTGGAAAATACTAAAAAAAATAAGTAATTTCAGTAAAGGCTATAGTACACTTACAGAAAATACAAATATCAAGGCAAAACAGCGGCTAGTTTTGACATTTCTTTTTACATCAGTAACTTTGAAAGTTTTAATTCAATTACACAACTGGCGAGACTAAATTGGCATTTTATATTGCCCAATTATATTACCCACTGAAATAGATACTTAATGGAGTTCAAGATAAAATTCAGCCACTTTGCCATGGTTAGGCATTGATGCCTCAGCCACAATTCCCATTAAGTCTTTTTAAAAGATACAGAGAAGTCATTTTGTTTTTGCAGTTATGTATCATCTCAAACATGGTGTGCAACAGGCTGAAACTCTGTAATAGTGGAGCTCTGAGGTCGAGTCCGAGAAACAGTCCAAAAGCCTACCTGACCACCAGTCACAACAAACAACTGACCAGAACTGACAGAGCTGACCAGAATGACCACACATGAATCGGGGATTGATGGACGGACTGACTGTCTGACTGACTGACAACACGAACAGAGGCACACACGACGAACAGGAGAGTGATTTACAAACAACTTAAACAGAAAAACAGTCCAAACAGCCAGAGATACAACCACCACAAGAAACAAGGATCAAGAGGAAGACGAAAAAGATCAGAAAGATTTTGGTTTATTTTTACACTCCCAAAAAAAGAGAGTGCAGTAAAGAGAAAGAGGGTAAAGGTGAAAGAAAAGGTCAAATTTTGACCAAGAGAAGAGTGAACAAGACAGCATGAAGTCCTGAGCCACACCCTAGAAAGAAGCAACAGTGAGAAAAACAAAGAGCTAAAGTAAAGAAACGGACAAAAACAACAATCCACAGCCGGTCCATTTTGTAAGGGTGCAACTCCCACATAAGCCACGCCCCTAAGCATTACATTAACATCATAAACCACCAATGAAGCTAGGATTAAATATTGCACGGACAAATGTGCATCTCTACAAAAGCTCTTTGCTGCATTTGAATGAATTATAAGGCAATGTCAGACCCTGTCCGTAACCCACTATACTTGCAACATGTTTCCAAGTGAAACAAGATATTCAAGAATAAAGAGAATAAAAAAAAAAAAATAAAAAAATAAAAACAAGAGCTGAAATTAAATGTATCTATCAGGAATTGATTAGATTGTGGAGAGTGGGTGTTTTGTAATACTCTTAATTAGTTCTTGGCTAGCATTTTAAAAACCGAGGAAGACACTAAATACATATACCAATACCAGCTTGTGTTTTTGTGCTTGAGATCAAGGGCAAAAGGAAGGAGATCTGTGCAGACAAAATGAGCAGTTCTGTCTGCAGCAGATGCTCATGAGTCCCCGAGTGCTACAGGGGGTGGGGCTGGGGAGGGGTTGTTGGGGTCAGTCAGGGCAGAGTGGGCACACTCTCAAACACAGTACAAATGTTCACAAATGACCCGGACGAGCACACAGGGATAGTTTGCTTCTGAATAGGAGAGACGTCTAAATGTCATTAGTGGAAAACTAGATCTCCAAAAAAAAAAAAAAAAAAAAAAAAAAATTCTTTAAAGGGTTAGTTCACCCAAAAATGAAAATTCTGTCAGTATTTACTCACTCTCATGTTGTTCCAACCCCGTAAGACCTTTGTTAATTTTCGGAACACAAATTAAGATATTTTTGATTAAATCTGAGAGCTGAATCACTCCTCCATACTAGTCCATAGGCTACTTGAGGAATTGAAACTTGCCGGCCTCGAAAAGTTATTAAAGACATCGTTAAAATAGTCCAAGTGACTACAGTGGCTCAATCTTATGTTTATTAAACGACGAGCATACTTTTTATGCGCAAAAAACAACAAAAATAACGTCCTTATTTTAACTATTCATTTACTTCTCTCTCTGCCTCGAGTCAGGTTACTAGTTTAATAGCGTATGATCTGTTGTTGTACATCACACGCATCACACACTTGACCAGCGTCGGCCAATAGCGAGCCTACGTGTGATGTAGCTCTACGCTATCACACTACTAACTGACTAGAGGCGCAGTCAAAATATTATCAGAGCAAAAAAAAAAAACTGGCAATAACAGGGATAGGTAAGATGGTTATTTAGTCCAGGAAATGTCTTACGTCTGCATCTCTCAACATGAATATTACGTTTCAAGAACGACATGTCATTAAAAGTCGACTGATTGATCGTTTTTGACTATAAATCGGCACAATGTTTTTTTCACTATTGTTACCATCTATTTGCATTCATTTATATTCATTTGTTCACTTTTATGCATTCTTTACACAGCGAAGTTGCATATTAAAGCTAGTGACATGAGCAAGCAAACTATATCATCATGCAACTGACATATAAACAAATCAAATGCATTCAATTTCAGTTCTTTGTTATCATCACTGTAATGCACATTTTGTTATTATGATATATATATATATATATATATATATATATATATATATATATATATATAGGAACCCAGCGAGGGGTCGATCTGAAGGACCTTACTAAACCAAGTAATCGGTAGTAGTGACGGGCGGGGTGTGCAAAGGGCAGGGACTTGACCTACACTTACTGGGAATTCCACGTAGATGGGAAACAGTTTCAATCCCCCAGTCCCGATCACGAGCGGGGTTCAGCGGGTTACCCGCGCTTCGTGGGGCAGGGTAAGCACACACTGATCCACCCATTGTGGTGCGTGTGGAACCCTGGACATCTAAGGGCATCACAGACCTGTTATTGCTCCATCTCGCGTGGCTAAGCGCCATTTGTAACTCTGAGAAGGTGGATGCCGACCGCTCCGGGCCGCGTATTCCAGTTAGCATGCCGGAGTCGCGTTTGTTATTGGAATGAACCAAACAAATCGCTCCAACTAAGAACGGCCATGCACCACCACCCACAGAATGGCGAAAGAGCTATCAATTTGTCAATCCTTTCCATAAGAGCATCAGAAATCTCTCTCAAGAGAGAAAATATCTTCATTTGTGTTTGGAAGTTGAACAAAAATCGTTTAGGTTTGAAACAACAAGGGTGAGGGAATGACAGAAATTAATTAATCTGGGTGGATCATACCTTATAAATACAGTAAGAGTCTTGAATAAAACTAACTCTATATCGAGAATCATTTAGTTTACATCAACAAAACATAACACCCCTACTGTATATAATTATTATTATTTTTTTTATATTCAAAAAGAACAATATATTTATTTTTTTTCCATTCAGTATCCATTTTAAAAACGAACCATTTAATCGGTTATCGGCCAGGGTGAGCCAACCTAGTTATCACTATCGGTCGACCTCTACACATGCAAAACTTTTAAAAATAATTAGTTTGCTTGCCTTAAAAAAGGAACTACACTATTAGTCTCAGCCTCAAAAATACAGTAAAAACAGTAATATAGTGAAATATTATGTCAAATTAAAATAACTATTTTAAACTACTATAAAACAATATTAAACAAGTATTTGATAACCGCGATTTAAAGCTACACTGTGTAACTCTTTTAGTTTATTCTTAGCTAAAAACACTTAGTTCTTTCAAAAATCTATGTGCTCATTCATGTATATTTACTTCGTTCAAGTAATAAAGTATTCTGTTCAGTTCAGTTCAGTTCAGTTCAGATACCTTTATTAGTCCCCAAGGGGCAATTCAGTTTTACAGCCAACCCATCCATAATAGTTAAAATACAATAACACACAATGAATAAAAGAAATAAATACTCACATCCTCATGTTTACTCACTAGTTTACCGACCAGTATCACACACACCCACACCCACACACACTCACACACATTCAACTGCCATTGACTAGGCAGAGCAGAGGAAAGCAAGAACCAATTCCATACATTTATGTATTTCCGTTTAGAAGTCTTATAGCGGAAGGAATGAATGAGTTAGCATATCGGTTAGTTTTCCGTTTTGGCACATAATACCGCCGACCTGACTGCATAACAACAAATTCTTCACTGAGTGCATGATCTGGTTGACACAGTATACTTTCTGCCTTTTTGACAGCTCGTGTTTCCCAAAGAAAAGTCAGATCATTTAGTTGGGTACCAGTGATTTTTGAGCATAGCTTAACAATGTTGGTCAAACTTTTTTTATCTTTCACAGCTAATCCATTAAACCAACACAAGAAAGAAAATGTTAGTAGACTCTCAATGAAGGCCTGATAGAATGTACATAAAATTCTTTTACAGACCCCAAAAGAGTTAAGCTTCCTCAGTAAGTATATTCTTTGGTTTACACTCTTAATAATGCTATCAGTGTTCTCACTGAATTTCAGTTGTGAGTCAAACACTGTGCCCAAGTACTTGTATGTTTGAACTATTTGAACATTTTCATTATGTACTACACATGATTTCGGTTCTTCACTATGCTTCCTAAAATCTATGATTACTTCTTTAGTTTTTGACACATTTAAGTCAAGGAAGCTATCCTCACACCATCTGACAAATTCCATGAGAGCATTATTGTGATCAGATTGGTTGCCCTGTAATAGGGACAACAGGGCTGTGTCGTCTGAGAACTTTACCAAATAGCTGTTCTCCCAAGATGACCTGCAGCTGTCAGTGTATAATATAAACAGCAAAGGTGAAAGCACACAGCCCTGAGGAGAGCCTGTGCTTGACATGATGACAGATGACATTTTACCATTTACATATACCTGCTGCCTTCTATTTGTTAAAAAATTTAAAACTAATAATAAGATCTGCTCGGGTAACTTAAAATGTGAGGCTAATCGTTCTATCAGGATATGTGGCTGCATTTTGTTAAAAGCTGAACTAAAGTCAGCAAATAAAATTCTTACATGTGAGGCAGGTTTCTCAAGATGTTTATACACCCTATCAAGAATGAAAAGCTTTGCATCCTCTACCCCCTTGCCCTCTTGATATGCAAATTGTAATGAATCTAATTTATCTACAGTTAGGGGGATGATTATGTCCTTTACGATTTTTTCAAAGCATTTCATTACCAGGGAAGTCAGTGCAATTGGTCTAAATTCATTAAGGTCTTTAGGAGATTTTGTTTTGGGGATGGGTATTACTATTGATGTTTTCCATATATCCGGTATGACTCCACTGTCTGCACATTTTTGAAAGATTACTGTAAAAACCTCACTAAGCTGCTCAGCACAGTAGTGCAATGTACGCCCACAGATGGCATCAGGACCAGCAGCCTTTCCTATTTTTGTATTTTTAAGTAATGTTATGACATTTGACTGTTGAATTTTTATCCCTCTCTGAGGCTTTAACGTCTCTCTCAATGTGGCTATACTATCTAAAAAAGACCTTTCAAACCTGCAAAAAAAATTATTAAAAGTATCTGGCAAGTCACCGTCGTCTATGCCCCTCAATTTTATATGTTGCCTTGTACTGCCTAAAGGCTGATTAATGGCTGCCATAGTTTTAATGCCTTGCCAAGCTGCCTTTAAGTCCCCACTATTATATTGATTTTCAATTTTATTCTTATACTGGATTTTTGCCTTCCTTATTTCATTTTTGACTTCTCTTGAGACAGTTTTTTTCTCTACCAGGTCCCCTAGATAGAATGTCTTTTTTTTCCTATTGATAACACTTTTCAATTCCTTAGTTACCCAAGGCTTATTATTTGGATAAATGACCACTTTTTTAGATGGAATCACAGTGTCAACACAATATTTGACATAAGCAGAAATTGTTTCTGTAAGTTCATTAATATCACTACAAGTGTCAGAGAAACAGTTCCAGTCAGTACAATCTAGACAGCCTTGTAGGGATGAAATACTGTCTTCAGTCCAGAGTTTAATGATTTTCACCTCTCGCTCTAGGCGTCTGAAAGCAGGCTTGTACACAGGAATCAGATAAATACTGTTATGGTAAGAGGCACCGAGTGGAGGCATAGCCAAGGATTTGTAGGCCCCATTTACTGAGCCATAACAAAGATCCAGGGTGGTGTTCCTCTGCGTTGTAGGGCAAGTTATATACTGCTCATATGATCTTAAAGTTTTGTTTAAAGTACAGTGATTAAAATCTCCTATAAAAAACTTGGGGGCCTCAGGGCAAATAGAATCCAATCTGTGAGTGACATCCGCGATCACTTGCTTTGCAGTTGAGGCATTGGCTCGCGGGTGAATATACACAAGCGTATAAAACAGCTGTTGGAACTCTCGTGGTAAATAGAACGGCCGAAGAGACACAGTTAGCAGTTCTATGTCCGAAGTGCATATTTTTTCTCTCACTACCACAGTGTTACAGTACCTTTTATTTACGTAGAGGCACACTCCTCCTCCCCGACTCTTCCCAGTAGTCTTCGGGTCTCTATCCAGACGAATTGGGCTACCGAACCCACTCAAGACTAAGTCCTCGTCCCGGTCTGATTCACTCAGCCATGTTTCCGAGAGGGCGAGGATACAAGTGTCTCTTATGCCGGGTTTGCACTTAATCCAAGCTTCCAGCTCGTCTGTCTTGTGTCTTAGTGACTGGACGTTTGACAACAAGATTGAAGGAAGTGGAGGTAGCCTACGGCGATTGTCTAGCCCGAGGTTTTTAAGTCTCCGATGCAGGCCGCCTCTCCTCCCTCTTTTCCGATGTTTACTCCGTGCATGCAATCTGCACAACTCAGCCGGAATATCTGGTACAATACCGGCAGACGATGTTCGTAGGGAGATCAGGAACTCTCGGGTATGGATAACTTTCCCCAGTACTCCATACTCCGAACCGTAGCAGGTGGAGAGTTCCAGCAGAAGCGTTATCACGGTAAATAAAGCGAGCAATTGGTCGAAAGTTCTTAAAAACCGCATCTCTGTATCACTGGTGCTTTCCACTAACGCACAAACATCCACAATTTACACTCGGTAAACTAAAAGTAAAACAGACACTGAAACAAACAAACACTGGATGGGCGAGCTGCTGGGTCGCACACGCACTGGAGCGCCCCCCACGTGATAAATGTATGCACCTTCTCGTGAGTGTATAAATGCCATTGAAAATACATACGCCTAAGGGGTTCTAATGTCGGTCGCCATGTTGCCCCTCCATCTTGAAAGTACATTAGCCAAAGAGGGACATACCCGTTAATTCAAGCTTCGCCTTTAGCGTTTACGTTTGAGTTAACACTCATGGACGAGGTCGAACTGGAAGCCATGTTAATCTTGGACTACATTGGCCACCGTAGGAGTTAAAACGAAATCGGAATTGAGAGGAACAGAAACTATTATTCACTGGATGGTCATATACGTTTTCACTGCTAGATGGGGGTAAAAATCACACAGTGTAGCTTTAAATCGACTGACAAACAATGAACATTCAAAGTCTTCTGGCTGCTTAGTGCCGTTTCCAGCAGGTGAGAGTTGCACCCTTTAACAGTAAAGCGAGGCGAGAAGCTCCCCAGGGCTCAGCAGGAAGGGGTAAGCAACAGCGTGAAAGACAGAGAGAGAAAGTGAGCAAGTGAGTGAGTGGGACTGACACGAGACTCCGAGACTTGCTGCTGAATGGGGGGTGGGGAGTGGGTAAGGTTACCTTTGTTGCGATTTTCAGGGGGTCCTTGTTTTTTACCTGTTTAAAACGAGAGAGAGAGGGCGGAGGGCTGATATAACATGGCTCAAACCAAACCAAAGACAGAAAAAGAAAAGAAAGAAACAACAACAGAAATAATAAAAAAAAACTAGATAAGTAACACTACATTACATGAGTATATGTGGGATTGGATGTTTCACCTATAGAAAAAGACAAGGACTGGAGGGTCTTTATGCAGGGTACACTGACGGCTCGGTCATTGTTTTTGACTGTGGCACACAACTGACATAACCTCATTATGATTAGGGATTTTATACATTTTCACAAACTATGGCAATGCCAACAGGCTTTGGCTGAAACCAAAAAGCAGTTCTCTCAATTTTTATTGGCAAACACATTCGGCAGAAAGATGTTCTTGGAGCCTGAGGGAAAAGGGAAAATGACTGCAGAAATCTGACCGTATATAACTATCATTATAACAAAAATACAGGAATCGAAAGTTTCAGAGCTGCTCGTTTAACTCATGAAGCAATGAAAGAGTAAACTGTTTTGACCAGTCTGACTGTTGAATTAAGTGGTGACCCAACTATTAGGAACATGTGACCGACTGAGAGCCGACAGCATGTGTTGTCAGGTTTTTACATGCCCTGGAGGACCAGGAGAGTCAGTGCATGCAGAAGGGACATACTGCATGCTAAATTGGAGGCTAAAATAACGTGACAAGAATAAGTTTCTTTGACCATTCAATTATCATGATCATCTCATATACAGTATACAAGTTTATGTAGGCTGGGCAATATGGCCCAAAAAAATTACCACGATTAAATTTTCCACATCAGTCAATATTGATAATTATCATGATAAATGTCAAATCTTTATTTACTTAAGGTTTAAAGGCAATTTTTTTAGGGCTGTCAAACAATTAATCGCATCCAAAATAAAAGTTTGTGTTTACATAATATATGTGGGTGTACGGTGTGTAATTATTTTGTATATTTGTATATATAAATACACACACATGCATGTATATTTAAGAAAAAAAAATTATATAAAATATTTATATATAATATAATTATATATAAATCTATATACAGTATACACATGAAAATATTTCTTAAATATATACAAGCATGTGTGTGTATTTATATATATGAAGAGTTCAGATGCAAAAGCCTCTAAGTGCCATTTGAAATTTTCTTCTAAAATGGTCATTTTTATCAAGCTTTAATATTTAAGTTCAGTAATTTCACTTAAATGGCAATGAAGATTACCTATTAATTGTCATTTAAGTGAAATTACTGAACTTAAATATACAAGCTTGATAAAAATTGTCATTTTAGGAGAAAATTTCAAATGGCATTTAGAGGCTTTTGCATCTGAACTCTTCATATATATATATATATATATAAATAATTATAAACAGTGCACCCACATATATTATGTAAACACAAACTTTTATTTTGGATGCGATTAATCGTTTGACAGCCCTAAAATTTTTGCTTCTAAGGGAAAGTTAGCTGAAAGGCCGTTAACTGTGATTTTTTTTTTTTTTTTTGTGATTAAGCTAGCCTATAGCATTTGTGCATTTATACTAAATAGTACACAAATGCTATAGGCTAGCTTAAATCACCAAAAATGCTGTATTTATATTCCATTACTCCTTTAATACATTTTGTCTACATTAATACAATCCTAAATTAATAGCCCCACATTTCTGCCACAATGCCATGGTGCAGTTAGTGTTACTACTACAGTAACAGCATGGCAAAAGTCTTCTGATGGTTTCGTTGCGCACAGTGTTTCTCCTGTTTGTCAACGCAGTTTTATCTGGCTTTAAATCACCAAGACGTTTGTGTTCTTTGCTGAATCCAAGCTTTTAGTTCTCACTGGATCTCACAGTACTGTGTAGGCCGATCAGCTAGTAAACCCATGCATGTTTGTGTTCCACGGTTCATAAACATTTTATCAAACATTTATTGAACTCTTGTCGTTTTATCAAGGAAAATTATACCACGATAATTATCATTAACATTTTATCACCCAGCCCTTGTGTTATGTGTGGATTTTTTTGTATTTTCCCAATTAGAAATAACTATTTCAAATTTAGCTTGAGCTAAAAGGGGATAACTTTTTTTAAGAACATTTTTAAAAAGAGTTCGCAAAATTGAAATCAATAAGGGATATCATTTCCATCGACATACTGTGATTATTCCCCAAAATAAATGTTGAGGGTTTCAGACCAGCAGGCATTTTTGGGGGAGGGAGACAATTCAGCAAATTATGTAAATGGATCTTACCTCTGGGAGGCTGATTGTAGGTAACCTCCCAACTAGAGAGTTAGACTGGTTTACTCAAAGAGAGAGGGGAATTATCCAAATGAGCCTGAAAGTATGTTAAGATTCTCACCTTTCTTCACCTTCTTCTCCTCATCCTCACTGCCCAAGAGGGTGAAAATGATTCCAGTTTGAGAATTCAGGCCCACAGCAGTGACCACCATTCGGCCAGATCCCTCCATCACATGAGTTCCTGAACGAAATCAGAAGGAAAGGTTGGTCAGTCGATACCAGTCAACAGTCCTTTTCTTTATTTAGTTACATTAACAAACATTAAATAAATATCATTTTTATTAAAAAAGTAAGAATTTCAATAAACAACCTTCAAATATGTCTCAATTAATTTTTTTTTTCTCGAACTAGTCAATAATAAAGCTAATTAAACTTAGCCATTAAACTATTAGATTAACATTAAGGCGGTATGCAATTTTATCCTAAAATAAATGTAGTATTGTCACTTTAACCAGGTTTTATCATAAAAAAGTGGTCAAATATCACATCTGGAGTCTTACATCTTTCTAATGATATATATATATATATATATATATATATATATATAGACAGTAGCATGGTATAGCCTAGTGGCTAAAGCTCAAGGTAGGTAACTTGGTTCGAGAGACATGAGCTATTTCCACCCAGTTGCATCTAGGTCAAAAGTAAACGCTCCTTTAAATTCCAAAAGCAAACAACAAACAATGCTAATATACAAGCATGGAGTGCTGTAGTGTTGATCCTATCCTGTTGATCATGATCCTAAACTTTAGCTCCATACCAAAATCTTAGTTGGCCAGATAGTTTTTATTTTTATTTTTTTTCATTAAAATATTGTTGTCCAAAACACTGTGAGCCCGGAGACTGTTGTGGACACCATGACTTTTTAAAAGATTAAAAAGTGAATAGTGCTCATAAATGACTGAGTTTAATTCAGATTGTATTCTCACTTAAAATAGAGGAAAGGCTTGCACCAGGAAACAGTATTATCTGAAGGTCGATGTGTCACAACTTCATAAGCAGACTGCAGGGGTTACAGCTAAAAATATATATATATATATTTTGACTGAAAAATTTTCCTTGGCCAAACCCCATTCCACAGCCAGACACACCCTGGTCACACACACACAGTTTAAGAGCAGTTTTTCTTCTTGTAATTAGGAGTATAGTGAGTACATGCTTTACCTTCACAAATGAAATACTCTGCAATAATTACTTACTATGAAATACTTTTATGAAATTTCAATGTTTTCAATCTAATGCTTTTACAAGACTCTTGTGATGTAGTCATACAAATAATTAACCGTCATTTTTGATATCATTTTTGACGTCATTGCTGATATCTGTAATTCAGTTTTGCCTATTCAAAACTCAATTACAGATATCTCCATCTGTAGTTTCGACTAGTCACAATTAGATATCTTGAATGACGATTCCAACAATCCAAAATGTAATTACGACTAATCAGAAAGACGTTGTTGATATCTAAAATAAAATAAAAAATATCTACACTTTTAATTCCAGACAGTCAGACTTAGGTTTTAAATGCTTAAATGCTCCATAATTGCCATAAATGCTAAAATTGCTTGCCATATCATATCTGCAATTCTCATTTAAGATGTGTTTACACCACCATTAAACCACCACCACCAGCCTGCACAGTGGTAACAAGGCATGATTGATCCATGTTCTCATTCTGTTATGCCAAATTCTGACTCTACTACAGTATCTGAATGTCTCAACAAAAATCGAGACCAATAAGACCAGGCAAAAATTTTCCAGTTTTCAACTGTCCAATTTTGGTGAGCTCTTGTAAATGTAAAAGCAAATTGTAGCCTCTTTTTCCTATTTGTAGTGGAGATGAGTGGTACCCGGTGGGGTCTTCTGCTGTTGTAGCCCATCCGCCTCAAGGTTGTGAGTGTTGCGGCTTCACAAATGCTTTGCTGCACCTCGGTTGTAACAAGTGGTTATTTCTGTCAAAGTTGCTCTTCTATCAGCTTGAATCAGTCGGCCCATTCTCCTCTGATCTCTAGCATCAACAAGGCATTTTTGCCCAAAGGACTGCCACATACTGGATGTTTTTCCCTTTTCACACCATTTTTTTTATAAACCCTAGAAATGATTGTGCGTGAAAATCCCAGTAACAGATTGTGAAATACTCACACCGGCCCGTCTGGCACCAACAACCATGCCACGCTCAAATTTGCTTAAATCACCTTTCTTTCCCATTCTGACATTCAGTTTAGAGTTCAGGAGATTGCCTTGATCTGGGCCACACCCCTAAATAAATCGAAGCGAGGGACATAGCCAGGATTGTCGGAAGAGGGGGGGGGGGGGGGGGGGGGTTATCTTTTGGTGTGTACCCAGCATTAGACTGCAGAGAGAAATGTGCTTTTGCTCCACTCCAGGCTTTGATCACACCCCCTTCATCAGGGTGAACACACCTCATCTTTCCTTAATTTAAGACCTATTCAAACTGAAATTAAGACATTTATTACACTATTTGAAAAATAAAAGCATATTTACAGCCTTTTTAAGACAGAATTTAAGACATAAGGACAGACGGAAATCTATTGTAGACTCGCTGCAATTAACGGACATTCGTCCTGGCTACGGAGAACTTTAATCCCCGAGACTGTGTGCTTGAGCAAAGCACTTAACACACCAAGGCTGCTTCAGGAGGATTTTTTCTGTAGTGTACTGTACGTCGCTTTGGATAAAAGCATTTGCTAAATGACTGTTTACGTTCTGAATTACAATACTTCAAATAAGAGCAACGCTGCTAAGTGGTTTCTAGAAAGAGTAGAGCATACATGCCAAGCCCATTAATGTGCGGTCAAAAATTAACAATTTAAAAATTATACTATAAGAATTACAATCTGACAGGATAAAAAAAATGTCAATTATTTGCAATTTATTTTGTATTAATTGCACAAAACAATTAATACAAAATAAAATAAAAAGAACTCTAAAATCCTAATGCTTTGTATATTTCCACGTTTAATCCAAAGTTGTGGTCTCTTTTGCACCCTACAACAGAAGCTGTGAAAACTCCATCTCACCGGAAAGGAGCATGGGGTCCTTCTCCAGAGATTTGCGGACATGATCAGCCTCCCCAGTCAGAGAGCTTTCATCTATCTTCAGGTCATTACCCTGGATCAAGATACCATCAGCTGGGAGAAGGTCACCTGATGGAAGAGAACATGGGGTGGTGAATGACTGTGGGATGACAGAAATACAGAGAAGGACACATTCAGCAATTCAGCAAGAGGAGAGGAGCAGAGGCTGATTTGGTGACTATGACGACAGATCTCTCCTGTGGCTCTTGGACACCCCACGCGTCGCCCACATAGCAGGCACCACAAGCAGCAGCACAGTGACTCATGCAAGCCGGTAAAGCATGAGTCATGATCCATGCTTTGTGTCTTAGAAGACTGGCAGTCACATATGATCGATCACAACCGCTGGTGAATTCAATGAGGGACTGGCTTCTGAGGTTTAATAAAAAAAAAAGCCAAAGGGTTCTGGAGGGAAAACTTTACTTTATAAATGCCACCACATTCATAAAACCCAAATATGACAGAATCCAAATCAGTCATACTGTGGATATAAATAAACATGTTTATACCGTATTATGGAACCCTCACCATATTTGATTTGTGCGATATCTCCCACCACGATCTCAGCAACAGGGATCTGGATGACCTGACCCTTGCGAATGACTGTAAACTTCTGTTCCTGTTCTATTCGACTCTGCAGCCCACGGAACTGTTTCTCTTTACTCCAGTCATTGAAGGCCGTCACCAGCACCACGATTATGACTGAAAACAAGATGGCAGCACCTTCAATCCATCCTGCCTGGGCCTCACCCTCATCTTCAACACCACCAGCTGCTTGGCCACAGCCTGGAATAAGAAAAAAAAAAAAACAATTAAAAGAAAATCAATCCCTTAAAACATCCTGTCAACATAACTATACATAACCTTTAAATAGGTTCATACAACCTTTAGAGACCATTAAGGGTCCAAGCAATTACAACAGCAGCTGCAAAATTCTGTTTTATCAGATTCTCTTCTTTGGAAAGTTTCCTCTTGTTAGAAACATGTTTTATCACAGATTTACACTTCATTGACCTGATTTCCTCCTGGAGATCTTGAAGACTGTCTAAGGTCAGCCTTGTGGTTTGAGCCATATGGGTAATAATAGGAAGAGCCTGCAGTCGCAGCCAAATTCAAGTTCTTTGGTATTCAGAGCAGTGCTTATGAAACAAAGTCCCAAATGAGGACGTTATTAAAACATAAGCCAAAATGTTGAGTCACTAATGAAGTCATCATCAAAACAACAACAACAACAAAAAAAACATTAGACTACTTTCTGTACAGTAAAGCAAAGGCAAAGGCCTTTTTTTCAAAAACATAAAAAAAAAAAAATCTTACTGACTCCAAACTTTACTCCAATAGTAGTGTATTTGTTGTATTTTTTTCATACCATATTATTACGAATATAAGACAATATTTTTTTTTTCTTTGAAATACATTTGAAAAAACAAGATTGTCTTATTCAGGGTTGCTGCACTAGCCTGGATTCCAGCCCATCTTAGCCCCACCCACATTTTAAGATGGGAAGTTCGATCTGGACTTAATCCGTTGATAAGCAAGTGTGCCCGAACCAAAACTCTTCGGACCAATCAAATTGTCAGGGCGGGCTTTATATGATGATGGACAGATGATCAACCGTAACGTAATCATCCACATCACCAAAGAGCGCTTGGGTTGAATTTGTTTACAACAAAGAATGGCTGCCACTGGAGAATATAGATGTGTTGATTCAGCCATCGAGTCTGTTAAAGAAGATCTATACAGTGCATTCATTTTAAAAAAGGAAAAGAGAACAGCGATCAAAGCATCTGTCGACTGGAAAGATGTTTTTGCTGTCCTACCTACAGGATTTGGTATATCCATTCCAAATGAATGTAGAGGCTTTTTTTTCCTTGTTCGGTTGAAACACTACCCGTAATTACAGCCCAATGGAACAGTATCAGACTTACATTCTCACTAGAATCCGAGTATGACGACGTCAGGCTATTGCTGCACACTATTTAAAGTCAAATTTAAGGATTTTTTAATATCTTTATTGCTATAAGATAAGATATCTATAAGAATCGGGATCGGAACAATACGGCAATCATGTTTAAGTAACAATAGTTAAGCAATCACTTCAGGAACCAGCATAACATTGTCACTTCTGAAGCAAAGAAGACCTCTATGGAAAGAGGTCTTCTTCAATAGAGGTTTGAAAATACATCTGCACCTAATCTGCAAAACAGCATATCAGCATCTGCCAGTGAATGAAGAACCAATTTAGCATCCAGAGTTCACACTTTTAAATACAGCATAAAGAGTGCTCTGCATTATCCCACCAACCATTATGATGGAAAGAGTGTGCAAAGCCTACAAAAACAAGTATTTAATTCAGATTTCTGTATATTTAAATATTTTAATTATTATATAAAATAGTATATAAAATACTAAAAGTTACATTTTTAAGTATACATTCATTTTAGTTTATTTCATTTTTTTTTTTTTCAAATCAATAGTTTATCTTAGATGCAGAGTGCAGGAAAACAACCCAAACAATATTAAAACAGACTTAATAAAAACTCTGTTTAAAGCAACTACTTACTGTCGTTGCCTTCTCCTTGTGGGTGGTAGAAGGACAGGCCCAAAGAAATAATAGCTGCCACCTCCAGAATAATGAGGGTGACATCCTGCAGGGCCTCCCATACCAACTGCAGAAAGGTCTTTGGCTTCTTGGGGGGGATGAAGTTTTTACCGAATGATGTGTGCCGCTTTTCCAAATCAGCAGGGTTACCAGAGAGGCCTGCAAAACATACAAACACTATTATTACAACAGAACGCACAGTTCTGACAAATTGGATGATACCCGTTACTGCAAATCAATATAATTCATTTTAATGCAGCAGGTTTATATGTCTTTGCTAATGAACTACTAATGAACACATGGCTCATTGATTCATAAATACAATGAGTCACCAAAATATGGTAAAATTAGCTTTTTGATATCTTGTGTGACAGGTATTTTTTATACACTTGAAACAGTCTGTTCAAATTTGCATTCAATGTACCACCTTATTTGCGGCTCATTTGCTTTTTAGACCATAGTGGTCGCAGACAAATGAGATTTATTGATGAGTAGCCAGTGTCATTTGTTTTTCTGCGTGCATAATTCAAAACAAACATTAAAAAACTAACTCGGAACTGGCAAGGAAAGCAAGCCCAACTAGTCGCACACCCTGATTCATTTAATATGGAAACAATTAAGCAAGACAGGCTGGCACCTATGAATTTTAAAACACTCTCCATGTCATGTCAACTTTCATCAGTGCTTTGTGGTAAATGGTGCTGGAATAGTCATCACACATATTTTAACACGCGCTCACTCACACACAAAATAAAGGCAGTCAGATATTTTGAGGTGGATTATCATGGATGTGTGCGTCAAGGTTTATAGGAGCAGTGGAACAATTAATCAGTGTTGAGAGCGGGGAGTGCTTGTAGCCGATAAGCCCAGAATATTGAATGAGTTTTAGCCTTTGCTTTAATCAACCAGAAACTAGTGCATAGTGAATGGGAGGGTTTAGGCAAAATAATTTCTTTAAAATGCATTTCTCACAGAAACCATTTTGAAACAAGGCTAGTCATTTTTCTCCTTTTATCTGCTCTACTTAGCTAAAAATTTGCCTTGCCAAGATGTCCGCGCTATATCCTCATTTACAAATTCCAGGAAGATCAGATATGATTGACTGGTTTATGCCAGCAGCAGGACTTTGAAAAGGCACTGAATCTTGTCAGTATTTCAAAATAAATGATTACGCAACAAGAAAGACATTGGAGAATACAACAGTGTGTGTGTGTGTGTGTGTGTGCATTGATTCTTCCTCAGAGACACAGCTGTCAACTGACCAGCTTGGTTGATGATTGACACTGTAGCAAGGCTTCCAAGGGGGATCGAGAACAGATATCTAGCAATTGGGATTTTAGATAAGAACCAGAGGATGATGCAAAAAGATCTCGGTCATGTAGAGGACAATCCTAATTTACTAATTCATTAAAGAGATAGCTAGTCAAACCATAGTTAAACCATCAAATTGTGTTTTACAGTACAATTTAAAATTGTGTCACTTACTCACCCCCTTTTTATGTCCGTTTTTTGGTCCATACAATGAAAGGCCACCTGTTTTGAACCCTATTGACTTATATTGTATGTACAAAAACATTTTTCAAGACATCTTCTATTGCACTCACAGAAAGAAAGTCCTGCAAGTTTGTAATGGCATGAGGGTACGGTTAAATTATGATTTTCCTTTTTAATTTTCCCTTTACAGATTGTTAAATATTTTGACATTATAATTTGATTATGCCTTAAGTTACCAGTACAAGTGCGGCAGTCTCAGCTCACTTAAGCACATTGCACCATGTTTAATACAATTCTTACTCAAAACCAGTCAAGAAAACATAAAAACCCCTGTAGATTGCACCGAGGCTTACTCAAAAGAATCATTGGACCAAATATTTCTCTATCAGTGGGGTCATGTTTAGTAATCAAGCAATCCTTGTGTTTGGCCTCTGCTCTAAACAAGCTGAAGGTCAGAATTGATTGTACGGAGATTGCCCCCTCTTTTTGTTTCTCCCCATCCATTTATCTCTCAATCCACTCCAGACCAGCCCATGAGTGATTTGTATATGTGTCGACATTTACGGGATTGGGAATTAGGCCAAAAGCATTCTGGGCCTCTCTGTGGAATAGCCCATCAAGTTGAAGTGGCGTTTATTTAATAATTTTGAGAATTCTCTACATTATTTTGAAATCTTTATTTTCGGGATGCACAGATACCATCTTTTCCAGAATCGATCCGAACCGATACCAAAAATTCTGAGTATCGACCGATACCAGCGCAGTTTTTTTTTTAATCAAGTAGAATTTTTCTAACTTTGTATATTGAACTGACAATCTTTTATGTGTTATGCAATCTACTTAATACATACAACTAAATTTTAAAGAAAAACAAAAAAAATCAAAAAAATATACAGTATATATATGTATATGTATAGCAAAGTGTATTATCCACTAATCTAGTTTATATATATATATATATATATATATATATATTTATATATTAGGGCTGTGCAAAAATTAATTGCGATTAATCGCATCCAAAATAAAAGTCTGTGTTTACATAATATATGTGTGCGTGGTGTGTATAATTATTTTGTATATATAAATACACACACATGCATGTATACATTTAAGAAAATGTGTTATTCATTTATAAAATATTTATATTTATATAATATAGATTATGTATTTATATATAGCGTGTTGAGTCCGCATTGAAAAGTTCAAAGCACAAAGGAAATACACTGTGTAGTGTATTTTACAGTATCTATCTATGCAATAGTTTATTGAGCCAGTTTTAAATATCAGTTGTTGTTGTTTTTTTTCCGTGAAGAACAATTATAGTGCTCTGACTCTACTTTAGTGCTGTGATCTAACCGACACCCTATAGAAAGTAATGAATTCCAGCAAGATAGTTATTTTATGCGAAACAGTCCCGATCTAGTCTAAGGATGGAAAATTGGAGCACATTTAGGCCTCAGAAAACAGCATTAAAAAAATTATGAAAATGTTCTTCTTAATGCTTTTAAATCAAAAGTATTATAATAATAATATAAATGGTAATAATGTGATTATGTAAGGACTGACAGATGGAGGTCTCCATTCAAGAGATCATCACATCCAAACATTATTCATGTGTTTATACGCTGAAGGCTAACAAGAACTGACTGCCTTTAAGACAACTGCAGTCACATCAATGGCTAGGGGGCTGTTGCTGGGGGGCTGGTGTCAAGGTAACTGAAGCAGAGGCTTTGAAAGAGGATGCTGAAGGGAGATGGTTGTGATGGTAATGGAGGAGATCATTAACAGGGGCCAGGCTGACAGCCAAGCACAACAGGCTGCATTCCAACTCGGAACACAAATTACTTTACAAGGGAAAAAACTTTCATCTACTACCCACCTAGATTTGTGCTATATGGCATTTTAATATACGAATACAATAAATGTGACAGTAGTGGAGACAATAAATTAGGGGAAAAGAGCGGTTTGAGTCAATGTGTCATCAGCAAATATTTGCAGTCACACGAAATCTTCACAAACGTCAATATGGTGATCAAACACGGAAAAGAGGGGGGAAAGGCAAAGGAATGGCATGAACATCACAAACCATTTTAAGTACTTAAATCCTTCTATTTTTAGATACACAGATTGTACCCAGTGATTACCAATGCAATCGTAACATTTGTCATAATTATTTCAAGCTAAATCAAACTGCTGATATGATGATATATGAAGTTATGTAACATGTTCATGTCCTCATATAATGAGAAGACAGGCGCTGAAAACGACACAAGAGTCATGAATGCTTCAGTGTGTGTGTAGTAGACAAATCTGTGGCCCACATTCACACAGAACATGCAAACTTCAGCCAAATATTCCTGATGCTGTCTGTGTTTTTAATGTTAACCAAACAACAAAAGAACAAAAGGTAAAAATCTCTCACTGCTCGTGACAGAATAACTTTTGTTGGGTTAATCTGTTTTTAATTTACAGTGAAGACCATCCAATATAGGGCTGCACGATTAATTGAAAATAAACTGAAATTGCTATTTGGCTTAGTGCGATTATGAAATTGCAAAAGCTGTGATTTTTTTTATTAAATAAATATCCACACAGCGAAGAGCAGCTCTGACTTTAGTAGTTAATGCTGCTCCATCTCTGACAGCACTGCGAGTTGGAGGCACTTATAACGTGCATTTGAAAAAGTAACATGTGTCATCCCAAACTTGTAATGCAAAGTGCTAATAAGCTTGTTGACCAACATAAGACATTTAATAACACACTGTAAAAAAAAAAAAAAAAAAAAAAAAAAAAAAAAAAAAATTTCTTTTGTCAAATCAACTTAAATAATTTATTTAGTTGAGATAATTTATTATTTTGAGTTTCTGGTGATTAAATTAATCTCCTTCATTTTATTAACTCACTTTTTCCAGTTCAATCAACTTAAATTTTTAAGGCAACCAGGTTAGTTACTTTAAATTAAACCAACAATATTATTTAGAGTGCATGTTTTTTACTTCTTACTCACTTCACAACTTCAGTTGAGTGTTAGAACTGAAGTTGTGTGCAACTTAAATGTTTATACAATTCAGTTTTTACTAATTGAGAGTTGATAATATAGATTAAAATAATCCGTTAATTAAACTTATTTAATAATGAAGCTTAGGCCAAGTGTATCCGGAATTCTCAGAATTTTCATTTCGGCGCCTCTCCTAGTCCAACTATCTGGACCAACATAAACATGCTGCCTCTCATCTTGTTGTCAACTGAAGGTAGAAAGTCTGAAATTTGGAACAACGTGACGGCTTATTCATCTGTTAAAATCCAACAGCACTGAACAGGAAAATCATTTCATATTTAATGGTTGTCAGCCCATCTCTCCACTGCTCCACAGGGAAGGGCATTTTTTTCTAAAATAATCTCGAAAATCTAACTAATTATAGGCAAAAATCAAAATTGATGTATTTTAAATTAAAACATGATGTGTGATTGTATTATAATTGCCTATTTATCATTGGTAAAAGGTAAAACATTTATAGCTTGATTGCACCATTTTACTGCTTTTCCCTGCTAAATCTACTTGCTGCTACACCGTGAGACTCAATTCATCTTGCCATTGAACAGCTTAAATTTGTACATCAATTTGTTATTCAAACTATGCAATGCTTTCCCAAGTGACATTA